ATATATTTTCCTTGTATAGTAACTGGTAGCTAAGAAATATTGTAAAATCCTAATGCTAGAGTTTAGTAGTCATAGATTATAGATGCATATATTTTAACTGTGGTTCGTTGATTACAAGTGTTTTAAACTTTACCGGAAATTCAAACTCGAAACGGTTATCGGTGTTGGCTATTGGAGACTTTTGTTCACTCAATTGTTATACATCCAAAATTTAAAGTTAACAGTGATATTTACCTGACAAGGTTAGATTGGACGACTACGTAAACATTTTTACATCGTAATTATTTAATTTTTGTAATTTCATACAAATTTTAAACTGTACATTATAAAAGCCAGTTTAGTTAGTTACTATATTGGTACAATAATAAAAAACACTTGTTTTTGTCAATCTACCTTACAACAAATAAATATAACCGGTACCCTTATATTGTTCTAAGTATTAACTGTAAAAATATTACCATGCAACTACATAATTTTTTTTTAAACATGTTTGAATACTTGTTCTTGTTAATTCGTTTCATCAAAAATGAATTAATTAGTTTTTAGACATAAAAAACATTTAGTTGAATGAAGGTAGGATTAAATCTAAATCATTTATGAAAGGTGCCATTTTTTACTGAATTTGATTGATGATAAACATACGCTCAATGATCGTTTGTATAGCAATATGTTTAATGTGTTATTTATGAACTATACGAGTAAAAAATCGTTTATTTTAGTTTTGCACGTGTTTAATTTATTGTTTTTGGTAACTTAAAAATAAACAATTCATTTCTGTTGGACGGTATTATCGATTTTTGTTTTTTAACTCTACACGACAACACTACAATAGTAGGTACAATGCTTTAAGACTCATTTTCATCGACCCCTGAAACGGTCAAGGTTACATTACGATTACAACACCGTAACAAAAATTAAAAGCCAGCTGTATGTACATATTAAGCTTAAATAGAAATTTGAACAAGTTACAGCCAACATCTATGGTACAGCTGTATAATATAGATAAATATAGAAAAATGTACATGGGTAGGTAATCATATTCATATGTAAAAATGATAACAAACACGATGATATAGTACCTGTGTTTTGTGAAATGTAAAATTGCATAATCAATGTTTTTTTTTTTTCATCTTGCATTTGATTGGCGATTTCTGGCATTTAATTAGCTGTTATTTTACTGATCTCTTACGTATGCGAAAAATTCCATTAACAGATATATTTATTCTTTAGAATAAATGGCCTAGAAATCGAGTATTTTTGATCGTACTTACAAAACTAAAAAAAAAATTTTAGTTGAGATTACTGCAATACAAAGTGATCAGAGATACACCGAGTAGGGAAATTTAACTTTTAACTATTTTGTGATACGTTATGTTTGAGAATAAAAGAATGGAGAAGAAGATTCATTTGAAGTAATAAGCAAAATTATATAGACTGCAGTGAGACCAAAAAGGAAGTTTTGTGCACTGATTGAAATAGATGAAAATACAATTTTTTTTTAAAAAAGAGCGTAAAATTACTAGGTTTGACAGAGGAAAGATTGTGTACATTTGAGGAAGAATAGGAAGAAAAAAATGTGAGGGTTAATGTGAAGAAATTAGAAGCGTGGATAAGCCTAGAGAGATTTAGAGGTAAGGTTAAACATGGAGATGTGTGTGAGAACTGTGTTTTTTACCATCTATAGAATGATTTTATGGCATATTAATTATATAGAATGTAAATTATATTATATAACTGGGCGGTGCGGATAATATCTATCCTAAAGTATTTTCTTGATTAAAGTTCATTTAGGATAAGTATTATCATAATGTAAGCATTACTTGTTCTAAAATAACCACTTGTGACGAAACACCGCATATGCATATTAAACACCAATTTCGAGTTATTTGTTTCAAGCACGTTTAACACGTTTTGGAATTACTTAACAAAATAGTTATCGATTTTAGGTATGAAAAATATCAAATAGTATTTTTAGTTTTTTTTTTATTAGTATAAAAGTAAAAATATTTCCCATGTCGATTAACATTATTTTAATCGCTTTCAGTTAGATATTATATTATTACTTTTATTTCATTGTTGCACATAAATAAATAATGATAACAATATAACAGATAGTATGTTTTTTATATTATGTACATACATGTAGGTCATTGGTAGAAAAGTTTTGGATATCAAAAGTAATTATTTACTAACTATTAGTACAACGACACCAGAAACATATTTATTTAAGTTAAAGTATGATGTTATATTATAATAGTTGAAGTTAATTTCAATAGAAAAAATCTATGGGTATTGTATAATATTTGTTTTTATTTAAAATATACTATTTCAATAAACATGTGAACGTTGATAATAAAAAAAAACTTACGACCTAATTCACTATATCTTTTGATAAATAATAAAGGTCCCATAAACAGTTTTATTATTACATATTGATTGACAACTTCATTTACATCACGTAAGATTTGCTTCCTTAGAATTATAATGTTATATCTCAAATCATTATGCTAATCTAGTTGTACATAATTCTATACTTGATAATTGGTTAATAATAGTCACGATAATTGTACAACAAAATTTAAACTTTTTTTCAACCAGAACTAAATTTCAATGATTTGTATTATACATGTTTCTCGGAAAAAATTAGTTTTTAAACAACAAATTAAGATTATATTTATCGTTTCTATATTGTTTTAGCATGAACACTATTTACATAGTTTTTCTTAGTTAAAATCAAAATTATGATATTTTCTTTTATGTTAAAAAATCACAAAGTAAAATGCAACCAGCAATAGGGCAATCCACATTTTTTAAACCTACAATTAAAAACCAATTATGAAGTACATGTTCAAAATAATAAATAGTAAAAAAAAAACAGTTAAATGACTTTACTGCACAATGTTCCATTTATGAAACAAAATATATATTTATTGTTTATATCTGTTCATGATTTGTTGATATTGTTTTTATGTATAGTTCAAAAGAATCGGCATAGATGTCACTAGATGTTTCCATAGAAATAAGTATAATATAGCTAAAAGCATATGAGTTTGTTATGATGAAGTTCCAACAGACCAGTGTAAGAAAAAAAAATAACGCAGTGAAGGGTTAAGATGCGATTTACAAATAATATAAAACGGGTGTTTTTAGTTTGAAACTGATGAAATTTATTTTTAAATTTCAAAATTTGTGTTGTATCACTTGTAACCAATAAAAAATCGTATTCAGTCGAAACCTTTCGAAATATCTCTTTGGTTTTAGAACAACTATAATTTATATTTGAATAGGGAATCGTTTTTTAAGATGATGCGGAAACTAACATACTTAGTTTACCTTGGTTAATGTTTGAACGTTAGAAATAATTTAAAATAAACTCAATCGACAATAGCTGATTTGTAATATGCGTCAAAATACATATATTTTGATTTTATCTTATTTGGAAAAACACATCATTATTATTCAATATGCGAAACGCCTAAAAACAACTGTTTACGTTTAGATTCTGTCAATAATAATAATAATAGTAAACAACGCATTCCATGTGCAAAGTAAAAAAACAGGTCGCAGACAGGAAAAGGTCCCACACGTGTTATCTACAGACAAAACATAGTAATTAACAGAGAAATATTATACTTACTTTACGGTACGGCGTTGTTTACTATAGCGAAAAATGTATGTAAATTGTAAACTTACATCAGGTTTTACCGATTCGTACACACAATACCGAATAGTTATTGTAGTTAATAATAATGAAAATAATTATTTTTACCATTGTCGATCGACAGTAAGGCTGTGTATTGGGAAAAGTAATATAATAGCTGAACAAATCCATAATAATGAACAGTAGTCGTACCATACCTAGCTATAGCTGCAGGTGACAAAAAAATATTGTCGAACAATGACAAACTATTATGAAAACTGTTAAAGTAACAATACAAATTGTATCTAAAATAATTATTCCATAAGTCACACATTTATCACGGTTATACGTTGGCGAAGAGTTTACAAGGTCGTACTGTCCAAGGGGTATTTAAAAAGATGTTTAAGTTAATAAATTTGGAGGTCAATGACTTTGTTATCGGGTGGTGTCCAATATTAATACTTATTAGAATACATTACATAGTCGAAACCAACGTTTTCTAAATTTTGTCTCTAAGAAAATAAACATGTATAAACTAGGTGTAAAGTTTAAAATATAATCGTTAAATGTAATTTTAAAAAGTTCTAAAATTGTGTTGTTTTTTAGACATTAAAATAAAAACAAATTCTCCTTTTCACATTTCGGAATAACACATGGAATTGATTCCATCGATTGATTTTGTATTTTTATCAATGTTGTTTTGTTGCAAAATTAGTCAACAAAACATATCAATGGCTGTAGTTTTTTCCCCGAAAATAAATAAAGATAATATTATGCTAGGAATTGCTGTAAACATTAAGTGTATGTTTTAAAAAGACATCAGAAAGTTGCACGCATTCGTTTTGATGGGACAGTTAACTTCCTGTAAACAGGTATTTAAATTATGAATGTTTTCCAAAACAAATTTTTATCTTATGGGCAAATATACTTTATTATATGAGTCGTGACCTTCCAATTGTATTATTTTGTTTCTTTTTACTCAAGTACATTGCGCTTAGTCCTTGATGAGGTTTACAACGATCGCCGTCTTTAGCCTTACAACATTAATCAATGCTGTTTTAAATCGTACCTACTTGTAAAGTCATTATTGTATCCATACGTTTCTTTTAATTGGAAAATATTGACAATTATATATATATATATATTTTTTTTTTATTACGACTATCAGTTAAGACTTATAATTAGTAGCTTATGTTATAACTATAAATTGCAATCGTCCTTTTGCGTGGTGTCAGTCAGGGTTTGCTTACATTTTTGTTAAGCCACCTTTGTAATTCTAATAGGTACTAGTGTTTTTCAATCTTATGCAAATCTAATCTGAATATTTTTATATTTATGTTTGGTACTTTGTCCGTTCCAGAGCTATGCGGTTCAATCGACAAACCGATATCCACCCAAAGTTCGCATTGTCGAAGTTGGCCCCAGGGACGGTCTTCAAAGCGAACCAACCACTATTCCCACAGACGTTAAAGTAGAATTCATTAACCGACTATCCGTCACTGGACTGAAAAATGTTGAAGCTACTAGGTAAGTTTATATACATTTAGATTTTAGAAACAATAAAACCTATGTTTAACCTATGTATTGAATGTCATTTACAGTTTTGTCTCTCCCAAGTGGGTCCCTCAAATGGCAGATCACGCTGACGTTTATAGCAGGATCGACAAAGTGCCCGGGGTTTCCTATCCGGTGCTAGTGCCAAACATGAAAGGTTTAATTACAGCAGTAAGTCGAAATTGTCAACAACTGCTCAGATTTGTGATACACGCAATCATATTGAGTTATTGTTAATAATAATAAATCTTATTCTGATCAGATGCAACACGACGTCAAAGAGATCGCAGTATTCGGGTCCGCTTCCGAAGGGTTTAGCCGGAAGAACATACACTGTAGCATTGCAGAGAGTCTAGTGAGGTGTGAAGATGTCGTTTCCACCGCTTTGGACCACGGTATTAAAGTTCGAGGTTATATTTCATGTGTTTGCGGATGTCCATACGACGGAGCTGTTTCTCCTCAAGACGTTGCAAAGGTACTTAACGTGATCGACCAAAAAATAGGTTAGGTCTAAAAATAAGCGTTTCAAAAATATGTTTAAATATTATAAATTTAATAATTATACAAGCAATGTAAATTATTTACATTTTTCAAGTGCTAGGTATTAAAATGTTTGTGTAGTAGTCATTGTGTAAAAAACATAGGTTAACAATGTAACTAACAAACCGTTGTTAATTACGACAGTTTATCGTGTAATGATTACTGTTTGTTTGTTCATTAGGTATCAAGTGCGCTGTACAACATGGGTTGTTATGAAATTTCTCTTGGAGACACAATCGGCGTTGGCACTCCTGGTACGATAAGGCCAATGTTACAAGAAGTTATGCAAGTGGTACCCGTTGAAAGATTAGCTCTGCATTGTCACGATACTTACGGCCAAGCCCTGGCCAATATACTCACTGCACTAGATGTAAGTTATAATAATAGTGTGTTTTTTTAAAATTAAATATATATTTGCTTTATTACATGTTCGTTGTTCGTTGTTAGATGGGCGTTACTGTATTCGATTCATCCGTTGCCGGTCTTGGAGGTTGTCCGTACGCCAAAGGAGCGTCCGGTAATGTTGCCACAGAGGATCTTATATACATGCTGGAAGGAATGAATATTGAAACAGGTGTAGACATGGAAGCGTTGCTCAGCGCCAGTAGGTATATTTGTGAACAACTGTGTAAGACCACTGAATCGAAAGTGGCCAGGGCTTTGTCGGGAAAAGAAAAACCTCTCAAATTTATACAGACTTACAGGAGCAAAGCAATGCTGGCAGATCATTAATGTTTCATTCACAATCGGTTGACTTATTATATTCCATTGTTTTATTAAATTGTACTTTTCGGTGATTTTTAATTTTAATTTATTATTTATAAGACTGAGTATAATTAGTAATTGTAAAATGTTTATAATTTTAATAAAATGTAGTTTACTTTTAACGTGGTTTTACATTTTATTTTTACAAACGTTGATCAAGACAAATTTTTAAATTTGAATGTAATGTTTTTCTAATTAATTGATATTTATAAATTGTGATACTTAATGATTTTTTTTTTTTTAATTAAGTTTGTATTTACTTTATAATTCATTTTCATAGCTGTACAAAAATATTTGAAAATTATAAATGTCTAAAATATTATTGTAATTTGCCCTCAGAATTATGATTTTGTTTTTAATAATAACCGAGACCTTTTATAAGATACTACAAATAGTTCTCTATTTATATTTTTTTATTTATCCAACTTTTAGAGTTTTGTGAACAGTAGTTAAGTTGATAATTAGAATAAGTATACACAAAAGTTGATTTCATTTAATTATGAAAAAAGAACATTTTGGAACTCGCTAACATGCCAAAAAAAAAAAAACAAAAGTGACATATTTAAGTTTGTAAAAATTTTAAATCTAAAAAACTACCAAAGAGGCGTTTACTCGTTGAAAAAAATGTATAAGTTAAAAATAATACTTCAAAGTTTACACAAATTAATCTGTAAATAAATAAATTTATTTTAAATTTACATGGTCGAAATTAAAATCGAAATCTCTTTTTTCTTAAATATTGCCTGTATAAAACTTCTTAAATCCCTTTCAGTTTCTTTAATCGACTTAAATTTACTACACTAGAAAAAATATATATCAAAGGGTGGCAAGTTAATAAGAATTAATTTTGGATGGTTATCATGTATATTTTTAGTAGCATTGTTTATTTGGCTATTATTTAAACAACTGATATTCTGATTAGAGAAACGGAGTAATATTGGAAAAAAAGATTTATATGGGATAAGTCAAGGAGACTAATTATCCTACTATTACTATTTTTTCGATAGCTATGTAATAATTATTAATTTTTGAGTTCCTTCTTTAATCTTTCATAAAGTTATTTATACTGAAATTGTAAGTAAATATTATTAATTAATAATTTTCATACTTTAATTTACTATTTTTTAGTCTTACACCTTTTTCATTTAGGTTGGTTAGACAACTCTTGCTCTACAAGAGACAAGAGTTGCCATCCTGGAGAAATGGGTTAACTTACTAAAAATATATATAATTATTTTGTTAAAAATACATTTGCCTACTAACGGTAAGTATCTTAATCGACTATTACCGTCCAGTCAATTATGAAGTCTACCTTTTAAAATTTAAGGCGCAACATTTGACATATAACATGTAGAACCACTAAATAAGTGATAAAAATCACTAAAAAAATGCTTCTATGTGAATCTGTGTATAGTTTTTATAATTTAGTAGTTTGTATTTTTAATAATACATACCACAGTGGCAATTTTGTGTTTAAAACCGTGTTATTATATTATTCAAGGCAATAGCTTCTTAGTTCCTAGACGAGGCTATTTTTTTAAACATATTTCTCCTAAAATAGCATTATATAATATTATCTAAAAAATTAGAAGCTAGGTGATTTTTTGTATACGGTTTTGGTTTTGGAAAGTCATTTATGGTTTTTACTGATATTTATTATGATGTGAATTTTTCTACTATTGATGATTCATTTCGAGTGCAAATTAGATGCATTTTCCGTTTTACAAACGAGACAATAATAGAAGAAATCAGACCATGGGAACCGAATGAAAAAGTGTTTATGGAAAACAATAAAAAAAACAATAGTATCTCATAGCTATATTATGATATAGGTGTACACATTGAAATGATAAAAATCAAATACACTTCTTTAAAATAACTATAGTCACGTAATTAAAGAGCATATTAAATACAAAAACAGTAACCAGTAACGACTTACGACCCAAACCAATAAAAACAGAAGGTATTTTTGGATTAAAAGTCTCATTTACAATGTACATAAGTAGTTTTAAATTAACATACTATGTACGTTAACCAAATTATGGTTGTATGTAAATGATCAGTTTATTAAAAACTCATAAAATGTCATTTTTTGTGATGTCATAATATATATTTTTTATTGCTCAAGTTTGTGAAGTTACGTCATTGAAATGAGTATAACATTATTGCTTCATATTATTAGCCAAGTGTGCTCAGTTTTTCTAAAAAATTGCATTTACTGAGACAAATTTAACACAAAATGAAGTAGTCCAACATTCTTTTGCCATACATCACAAAAAAAAATGGCATTCAAAATATGTAACAAACAAAATAATGTGTTCTATGTAGTTATTGTTACAGTTTTATTGTGATTATTTTATTATGTTATGATGACTAATGGATTATTGTAAACGTCTCTCGTTTGTACGATAATACCAATAGTCGATTAGAATGTGCGCCCTATTTATAATATTGTTATTGTGCTCTACTTACTATATACATATTTTGCATACAAGCATCTGTACCGCTACCTGCATAATATTATTACACTCGACGGCTATTAAGAAAAAGGTATATTACACCACAACAGTATAGTATAACATTTTTGCATACAGTATAATATTTTATAGTCGATGTTTACCCATATTTTTTTCACACTATTCAAGTAAATGAACAATTACCCGGCGCCACGCAGTCAAACGCGTGCACAGGTTTTTTTTTATTCTAACATAATAATAGTATAACATTAGCTGAGCATGAAAACCGGTACTCTTATAATATTGACATGTAAAACGTAGCAAAAAAATGTAATCTTTTGATTTGCGGTCAACTACACTAATCTTGAAATGCTCAATCGTCTGTAACCATTCAAGAAATACCTAAACATGAGAATATATGACCACCAATAGTATTGCAACCTGTAAGTAAAATGTAAATTATTGTTTACCAGTGATAGTAATTACAATCCGAGAGATTGCTTTCTCGTCGGCCATTGAAATTGCTATTATACTATTAATATGATATTTATGCCAAAACCGTTTCCAAACAATTACATAATATACAATTTACAAAAACACCCAAATTGTATATGAATTTTGTGGTAATTAAATTTTATAAACGTCAAAAAAGAGCATCGGCTGTATTATTGTAAGCGATGAGTATACACTTGAAGTACCTATTTTGATTCTGAATGTTTTTACATATTGGTAATTTTGACTGTACACGTCATATATCAATTATATAGTCAGAAATATTTTTCAAACGCTTTCCCCGCTCAATTGGTTAACTTTTACCATTGATTATAAATACTATAGTCCAGAACAAATATGTAATATAATATTTACAATTAATGCTTTTACTATGCTACCTTAAAGTATCCAATTTTATTTCCAAAGAAATTATTTTCTATTTGAAAATTTAATCAAGCTACACTTGTAAAGGTAAGAACTGTTTTTTTCAGAAAATAGAAATCTGATAAATCTAATTTAACTTTCAACAAAGAATCCACTGCCCGCAGTAAATAATAATAGGTACTTATAGTAGTATAGTAGTATTGTGTATAAGTATACACAATAATCTACAGTGAATAGTTTTAGCTCCAGTTAAAATTTTGGAAATAAATTTAAAACGAAACGAGACTAACCAATTAAGTTAACTGAATAAGGTAATTACACAATAAACTTTAACTTAATTGTCAATATTTTACATAGTATGCATAGAAATACCGAGTACATTTCTAACAAACTGTGCGAACACTAAACATATGAATATTATAAAAGTTATATTCTTTATACTTGATCAATTTTCGGTATTGCTACTGCCTAGATTAAACTTAAATATGTTTAATATTCGGTAATTTTAAATGCACATATTATACATAGATAGAGTTCTCTATATTGTGTCTAAGTTACGCTTTTATAATTAAAAGTTGTTCTATTTATCTCGACGACACAATGTGTGTAATTTAAATTATTAAGTTATTTTGTGTATTTATCTTCAACACAATTACCTAGTTCGATTCGGCTATAATGTAAATTATGATTTTGTGTAAAATTTGTGTAACCGATAAGTGAAATGGAATTGATTTAAAAAAAAAAAAAACAACAGAACTATGCAATATGAATTATGCCACCTATATTAATCAACTACACCATGCTGTCCAAATAGACTGATAGGGACACAACATTTGAGTAGGTACCGCTATAGTGTGAATGATGGCCGATACTGGTCAGATACACACGATTTATTGTTCTGGTTGACTTTCACTGCCATCAAATTTGATTTCTGTTTGTGCAACAACATTCATATTTCAAATTCACATTTAAATGGGTAGTCATCTTTTTATTGACGCATTAAAAGAAGCCGCAGTAACTGACGATATTTTATATGTACACGACATGACATAATATCTTGTGTTACGTGACCGCGTCATCTCCTCTAAGTAGCATAAAATAATAAGGTTAGGCTATTAGATTTTTTTTTTTAAATTTATAGTACCTATTATTTGTCTTGAAGATTTTTTTAGAAAACTTTGTGTACTTTGCATCAGCTATTGGAATAAAATAAAATATACACATATTCGTTGAGCTTTTTTGTTTACCAATGCTCCCACTAGATTTTCACTTCCGTCCTCGTGCGTCGTGGCCGTTGTATTGAAAGTGAAAACGATTGTTTTGTATGAAAGCAAAAAAAAAAAAAAAATCATCCTTTTCAGTTATACTTGTACAATATATTTCACTCTTTCTTCCTACAGCCAGCGTCTGCCTCCCACAAAACGACTACAGGTATGCCAATGAATTATTAATATTCTTTACTGCTACTACAGACTACTACTACCTATACTAGTTACTACTACACACAACAATAACTTTCGATAAATTCAACGTCACACTTGTCATGAACGTGCACGACGCACGTGCCAATTATGATAATTGCTACATAATAGAAAAAACACACACACACACACATATAATAGGTATCTAATTTGTTTCCTCGGTCTATGATTGATCTGCAGACGGCAAGGAATATTTGAAATTGATTTTTTATTCTCGCCGTTTTAATACAATGCAAACTTTGTGATTTGTCATCAGTTATTATAGAATATCACAACAACTTTTCAATGAAATATTAACAACTGACTGATATTGTGATTCTATGTTGTAGCTTGCGACCCTAACTTAACTGTGACTGTCGACTTCCCGCACCCCAGGGTATTTGAGCTAAATTGTAAAATTAAAATTCACATTGCGTGTACCATGTAGTTTTACCTCGTGTGCAATGTGCAATGTTCAATGTGTTGTGTGCACACTGCATAAGTACTTTTGCATATATTATATTAATAAGGCTCGCTTTGGCAACTTTGTCGGTGAAAGTTTATAGTGCCACGCGAGCAGCGTTTGTTATTGTTGTTTATTTTTCTGGTAAATATACATAAAACGTGTAGAATATTATCGGTAAGGTACCCGCATATGCAGGAAGACGCACAGTGTCCAGTTATGTGTCTATATTCATTATAATATTACATATTAGTATTTTATTCATCCTAGTGCGTTATTGAAAACCACACGATAACTTGTTGCGCAACGGTTCATGATAATCCAGCGATAATAGTCTCTCTAGATAAAGCAAATACATTGTGCATACTTGATAATATATTTATACAAAATGTATTTTTTAGTAAGGATTTTTTTATTTATTTTTTCTAATCCGTTTAACGGAAACGGTCATAATCGCGTCGTAACATCTTCATAGAGAACGTGCGTGCGTAAACGTTATAGACACCGCAATCGCAAACCGTTTCCCATGTAAGGTGGCGATAAAACTTTTTATTTCCCTCGACTATTACCTGCCGTCATTACACACCGTAGCGCGACTGCGTTGACCCCACGATGACCCGGGCCATACTTTCATTTCTCTCTCGCCACGGCAGTGAAAAATACATGTACCTACGTTTTTTTTTATTTCTTTTTACATATATTTTTTTATATATTTTTTACCAATGCCGACGACGACGATGATGATGTTCTGTTCCTCGTGTATTGTATTACGCCTGCGGGCATGGTGAGCTATGATGGTTGTTATCCCCTTTCACCACTGCCGGCTATAGATAGGTACACATACAACACACCCGGTTATTGCATTTATATGGATGCCATTTTTACGTCACTCCGCGCGATTATCCACCTAAAGCTGTTATTATATATATTTTATATACCTATTTATTATTATTGCGAACGGACGCTGTTTTTTTTATTTCTCCTCGAGATGCTCGACGACAGTGTCCGGCAGCGTGGAATCTTCGCACGCCGGTCTCGTGTAAACGGTAACAATTACACTATTATATGGACAAATCGTTACGGCCCGGTAAACGCGAGGAAACGCTATCGGTTTATATTTTAAGAGGAGCGCAAAAATAATATAATAATAATTGTCTATTGGCCGACACGAAACGAGCGAGAGCGTTTGGAAAACTATCCGCGAGAATTTCGAATTAACTTGTTTATTATTAAATTCAGTTACATTGAGGTTTTTTCGAAATTAATTATAATTAAACGTTGTTTGCCAATGAGCTGTAGGCTATCGCGATGATAATTGACAGTCCTTATAACACATAATTCGCCTTCCCTCCTTATTAGCGTATTCGTTGATAGAAAATATATTTATTACTAGGTACTGAGATCTATCTAAAAGATTCTATGTAAAAAATAAAAAATAAATTTCATTAAATTTTAATAATAATTTTGTACAAATAAATGTTTTTGTATAAAAATACTATACCATATATTTAAATCCTATTGTAAAATGTCTAATGTTGACTCAATTTATTCGAACTCTATCGCTTGTTTAATTTTCAACTTATCAAGTCCTTGATGTATAAAACACTTAACCAAATAGAATGTACAAGCTAGATGTCAAAAAAAAATTCCAAAAAATTGTAAATAGAACTAACTGGACACGAGTTCCCGATATATATTTTAATATACCATGCTTGTAAATTCAGTAAATAATTATTTATTTTGTTTGTTTAGTTATGCCAAATAAAGTATTGATGATTAAGTTAACTGAATATTTCGGGTTATTTAGTTAGGTTAAAAGTTAAGGCTTACTGCATGAGTATTTTTTCTATACCAATACCAAAATTGGCTACTCTATACTTTTATATGTACTCGTTCTCAATAAATTATGCTTGTGTTGGGCCCAATTTGTTTTACTTTTTCTAGCATCAACACCTCGTTAATTGCTAGGTATATAGATAAATTTAATTTTTGTGATTATTTAAAAGACTCATTTTGTGATTCGGGCATGGGTCTAGACTAGAAGAAAGAGAGCAGTTGGCCAGGATTAGTTTGGTTATCTTACACGAAATAGTATCCCAACAATAACACTTGGTTAACTCAGTATAAATATGATAAAACAAGTATCTCGAGACCTCAGCAATGTTGTGTTATTTTGCTTATAACTAAGAAAGTATTCAATCAATATGTTTATTTGCCCGTTCCCTTCTATACAACTTTCCCAAACTACTGATATCTCATATGATCAATTTTGTTCAGCCGTTCACTCACAAAAAGGTGACAAAATGTATGATAAAATTTACTCGCGTTTAATGGGTATAATTAGTATGAAAATCAACCGGATTTTTTTTTTTTTTTATTACAGCTTGAAATAACGAATTTTAAACAAAATATTATGGCTTGTCTTTAGGAAAATTTTGGACCGTATTAAAAATGTTTGTCTTTCTATAATAATACATTTTTTTCCGCCCTATGCGTATCGAGCAACGACAAAGATATCTATTTCCCAATAGACAATATGTCTTTTCAATAATATTTGATCGAATTATCTGCTAGTAAGATACGTTTTGCGTGCCTATTAACTTATTAGACTTCCAATAGTAACGTGGGTCTGAAACCCACAAAATGAATGGCTGCACCAGGGCTTTTCGGTCTGATATCTTGTGAAAATATTTATCGTGGACCAAGTTGCGTGATAGAGTGGCATAATAATTATTCATCTCACGCGAATTGCTATTTATGATACAATTATGGCCGTATTATTATTATCTACTGCTGTCATTCAATATAATATAATATTATAGTTATAGGTATCGTATATTTTGAAACACGTTCAATCGACAAATACCGTTTGCAATTTCTAAAGAGCTTGGAATTATTATTTTTATTCGTTATGACAATAATGTTGTCATAAGCGAGTTCAGAATTTTAATAGGAAAAATAATTGAATGCGTTATTTGTAACTACTGTTACACATATTATATCTATATATTTATATCTTTATATATATCTCCCTCTATATATAAATAAATACACATTAAACATTATTATTATTATTATTATTATTATGTAATTTCAGTACTCACTTAATACAGTGGGTATGTTTATAGTTCCTTATTGATGCATTACGATTCTTATGTTCATAATTTAGACACCGAACCGAACAGCTATTACGTAGGAACCAATTTATAATAATACACAAACTATCTGTATAATGAATATAATATTCCATTGTGTGTTTTGTTTATTTTGATTATAAATATTTCCTTTTCTTTACATTTTACCAATGCGAAATAAGTAGGAACACCCACCTTATACTACTACATTTTTTTATTATTATTAATACAAATATATTTATGATAAAAATCTAACAGATTGTGTTGATTCAGTAAATTCAGTAAATTAAAATAAATGTACTCAAAACAAATGAACTCACTAGTCAATATGTAAATACAGTAATATATTCCAAACGAATACCCGTCAATACAAATAATATTTCATAAAGACGTGTTTTTTTAATGTTGTTGAGTTCATTTTGAATTGAGTTAGTTTCATTTCATACTCTGTAATATTCAATAGCACAGTTAGGGGCTCTAATTAAAAACTCCTCCAAAAAGGTTCAGTGCGGTTTTGGGGTTTATTAAGTACCTGCATACCTAATTAATCTAAAATTGAAATCCGGTGTGAAGTGGAAAATCTAGTTGCTATTGTCTACCTATAACAATAATTCTATAAGAGTTTGTTTGAAAATGCACTCTTCGAGTGTTTTGTTCTATTGAAACGGATGATAAATGGTTAAAGTGGATCTTATAATATTATATATATATATTGTTAAAAATAAAAGAGAAAGATCCTTGTGGGTACACCTGTCACCTACGACGTAGGTAGGAGGTATATGCTATTAGAGAAACAAATGGATGTAATAATAAAGTATCTATATATTATTATTATTATCTAAAAATCAAACCCTTCGCCTTTCAAAAACGATTTAACCGTTCGTGTGTCTGATTATCTGTTCATACCACTTATTAAAAAGCAAAGATTAGCGGCGGCGGCAAACATTCCAAACGAAAGTATCTTATGTACAAAAAAAAAAATAAAATAATGGTAGATTTAGGTAGGGAATCTTGGGCATCCTCGGAGTAGTAGCGGGTGTGAATATAGCGCCCAAGAAGAAAGTGACCAGTTTTCGACAGTCGGTTGCACAGGTCAAAACTCTTCCGTGAACAGAAGATTGTGTGTTACTATAATAATATAATTTACACGTTAAAAATTAATAATCAACAGGCGATCGCGCATGAATTTCCTAAACGGCTATACAGTATAATTGTTACTTTTTTTTTTTTTTTGTTATTATACAAGTGATTTTCGTTTCAGTTAATTTTTTTTTGGTTTACTCGTACTCTGTGTACATATTTGTGTATAACTCAGCTATGAAGACCGTAAGACGTATTTAAAAACTAATTGTTTAACCGAAAAACCCGAAGACACTATGGTTGAATCGCATCGACTTCTGCGGGTAAGTGAATAAATACAATATATTATATTCAATAGATTTTTTGCCACGCATACTTAAAAATTCCCATACCTCATACTATGTGATACTTGTTTTATTTTTAAACGTTCCGATCAATAAATATCCATTTAAATACGCCGAGTTACACATGAAATTGATAAATTTAATGGCTCATTCAAATGCAATATACCGACCGATCCGGTAGATCATTGTCCAGTGAAGTTAGTTAGTCGGCTATTAAACTTTTATACAAAACCGACTTTAGAATATACATATCTATGGGTGCTGTAGTAAAAAGGTGTTAGACTAGTGATATTTTTTTCCAAAAAGAGCCAATTCTGTGAGTCATAACAGTGAAAATTGCATACAACAGCTTAGACCAATAAGAAAAATGTACTTAAAAAATCGTTTCGATTGCATTAAACAATTCTGGAAAAGAAAACTTATTTAAAGTAGAAAAATAACATATTATATAGTTTACATTATTTTTAATTTAATCATATAAATAATATAAAATATATAGCACGAGCTGTATATGTTGAACAGTTTAAATAATAGTAATATTTTGAAAGCTTTTATGAATTATGTCTTTTTAACAGCCTAATGATAATAAAAATAATAGCCTATTAAATTAACGGGTAATTAATTTGAAACATACACTTGTGTTTTTTCTTTTATTGGCTAGTTAGTTGCAATACAGATTATTTAAGTATTTTAAATGGATAACATTTTTTTTCTATAGTGGCTACTAATAGATTTATAATTACATAAAAATTCGAAATAAAATAAAATTAATAACATTAACTTTGATTAATTTGATATTTATGTAAAACAAATGTATATTATCGATTAGTACTCACAGTGAATATAATTATTTTTTATTGATTTTTTCATGTTAGAGTAATCTCATTGATTTGAAATCGTATTTTCTAATGTCCACAAACAAAAAAAATTACTATTATAAATACCATAACTAATTATATAGAATAGTAAAAATATTTCTACAGTTTTGGCTATATGTTATATTATTATTATTATTACTGTAATACGGGAAGTGTCAATCCAATGCCAGAGAGATTTTTTTTGTTAGAACTTCGACAATTTGACCATTGTTAATTCATGTTGTCAAGAATTCGCACGGTTTTCTCTCATTGTCTTGTTTTTTTTTTCTTAACAAGATCTTGGCAAGATTCATTCAAACACAAGATCACTATTGTTCGCGCGGTCTTCCCTTATTACAGTAGTTACTGCACCGGATAATCTTAATCGACCATTAAACGCATCGTGGCCATCGTTAAAGTAACTCTATTACATCATTAGCGCATCCATCTTGAACGTTTTTTTTTCTCACGTGTACATTACTATTTTTTTTTTTGTTTATTATAATTGTACCATACAATGTGTAACACGTTCTAGGTTTGCTTGCTGATCGGATTGTTCACGAATGCGATTTGTCTGCGAAACATTGATCAGTCAAGACTGATAGCGGATAGGCCCAAAAGCATCATTAAACCTTCATCGCTATGGGACCAAAACAATTCGAACAATTGGAAACACAAGCAAGCCGCCGTGCCACCGTACGCTGTGAAAATGGAACCTATGGTACACTATTCGCAGCAGGATCCCCTTTACCTCAACGCTGCTGCTGCTGCCAATAACGCTTCTTTAGGGAAATTACTCGTCAGCAGCGGCTATGTAGGTGGTTCTGAACCGAGAATATCCACAGACTACGGGGTGCCCGGCACCGGTTATGGCGTGCCATTTCAACACGACTATTACAAAGAGCCAGAACCGATTATCGAAATTATCATAAAAGAGTCGAACGAATCGCTGCCGGCGCCGCCCACGCCACCGCCTACACCTGTTACGCGTCCCCCGAAGGAACCGGTTCAGGTGTTCTACGTGAAATACAAGAAAAATCCGAATTCGTACGGCGACAAAGAAGATGATATCATCTACGAGCCGCCCGTGCCGGCCATAACGCCCAGTTCCGAAACGGCGAGTGAAAGTGAAACGACATACGCTACAGAAGTCGCACCGCAATACAGTTACGCCACGGAAGCGCCGACTTCTAGCACGACGTTCAGGACGATAATAAAACCAGACTCCGAGGTGTACCACGGAACCGGTCTTCGAGTGACGTTTGGGAAAACCGAAGAAAAATGGGGGTCCACGTTGGACGAAGCGCAAAAAAGAGATTCGGTCAGCGAACCGAGCGAACAACAACGTAAGTTCAAAAATGCGGATCAAGAGTTCAAAAGAAGTTACGTTCAACCTCCTCCTCCTAATGCACAACATGCAGATTATCAAAGGAGTAATAATTTTGAATCGCCACAGATTTCCAATCAGCCTCAACCAAACAGCAATAACCAGAGACCTAACTTTGAACATCCAACACAACAACAATCGTTTAAAAACCCTGAACCTCAAGTTCAAACTTTTTTCAGAGAAGAACACCCCCATTCAAATTTCCAAGGCCCAGTGCCTATTCGTGATCCAACATCAAGTAAACAACAATATAAACCGCAACAAAACAATTTTGCAGGTATCGTAGAACAAAAACCACAACAACTTAATGATAATTTACCACAACAGTTTAATCCTCAAAGGGTTCCAGCTTTCCAATTAAACCCACCACCTAGGAACCCAGGCACGTTTATCGAAAGACCAGTCCAGCCTAATCAAGAAAGATTTGTCCAGCCTAATCAAGAAAGACTTGTCCAGCCTAATCAAGAAAGATTTGTCCAGCCTAATCAAGAAAGACCATTTTTAAATAATCCTTTTGAAAATCGCCCAAACCCAAACCACCCCCTTGAAAATAGACCTCCGCAAGAAATTATTTTTGATAATAAACCTTTCGAAAGTCGTCCTATTTCGGACCAACCTTTTGATAATCGACCTGGTCAGAATAGACCATTTGAATCACAACCTATTCAAAATAGACCTTTAGAGATCCGGCCTACTCAAAACCGTCCAATTTTAAACCGTCCGTTTGAAAATAACGCAAATCAAGATAGACCGTTTGAAAACAGGGGCAATCAAAACATTATCAATTTCAGACCACATAATCCTCCAACCAATCCGCCGAGTGTACCACCAAATTCAAACAATCCATTTGTGCCAAGCGATAGACGGCCACCTGTTCAACCTCCACAATTTCCAGTTAATTTCAACAACCAACCCGTCGGTACTAAACATACAGTAGATTTGAAATTTCCCCCACAGCAACATCAGCAGCAGCAGCAACAACAACCGCAGAAAATTCAGCAATCTCAATTCCAAGCCCCACAATTCCACCAACCACAATTTCATCAACCCCAATTTCAACAAATTCAGTTCCAGCAACCGCAATTTCAACAGCCACAGCTGTTTCAACAACAACCTTTTCAACAAATACAATTTCAACAACAGTACAGACCGGAAATCCGTTTACCCATAAGCAACAACCCAACAATATTTCAACAACAACCACAATTCAATCCGGAAGTTAAGTCGGCCGTTACACAGTTCCAACAACAGCCATTAAAGTCGCAACAGTTTAACTCTGAAAACGTCAAAGCTACATCAATTCCTCAATTTCATTTGACTCCGTCGAGTGGATTCAAACTGGAAACACATCACCAATCAGCTCAATCTGGTCAATTTATAGAAAATTATAACAAACATCAACCAAAACAACCGGAACAAAATTCTTTCCGTACAGACAACGGTCCGTGGCAAGTAATGAATCATCCTCAGCATTTTGCTAAACTTCAAGAAAACAAAGAAACCGCCAGCGCGAGCACGGTGAAAAACGCTATAGACGCTACACACAAGACCATACTTAAGACCACTGAAAAACCTGTATCCTATGTAACGTCTCAGTACAAAGACCGCAGCACACTAGCTTCCACGACTGGCCCTCCGCCGCCTAAACCGACAGCCGCAGAACCGACCAAAAACGAGTCGACGAAAACAAATACCAAAAACATTGCCGCTCTTCCCGACGAAGTCCCGGACGAACTCCGGGAACAACTGCTTTCGTCTGGTATTCTGAGTAACGCCGACATTCAAATATTGGACTACGACAAAGTCGGCGACATACCGATCGAAAGTTTGCCTCCAGAAGCTTTGGAAAATTTATACGGACAAGGCAGTGCCCCGGTGCCGTCGATTGCGCTTCCGCCAAACAGCACAAACGTCCAAATGAAAGTCATCAAATACGATCCGGCAACCGAGGAAGGTAAAAATATCGAAAACAAATATGTTGCGGACAGGCCAAAAGCTCAAACACTCAATCCGGTCGTTTTAAACGACACCGGATACAATCGGTTTCTACCGCTTAACGTGAACGGTTCACAGTTCCCAATACCCAACTCGCCGTTATTGAAAAACAAGGCCATCGGAAGTGTAGTGATTCTGTCGCCCGTGGGTTATGATTTGCCGGAAGATCAGAGCCGGTCGTCCAGAAATACCGCGGTCAAAGTGAAAGGCGTTCATTTCATCGTAGGCGACGTGGTCAAGAACCTTGTCAAGGATCCGAGTGCAAGTAATTTCCAGACTTGGCTAGAAAAAGAGAAAAATACCCCGACCAACGAGCAGTCCGTTATCCTCTTGGTCACAAAGTAAGTTGTGATGCGGTGTGTCACTTGATTTTTTATTCTCACTCCATTTTTACCAATGTTGGGCGTAATCGATTACTCTAAGATTAAATTACGTAATCGATTACAACAATGTAATTATGATTAAATTAATCATTAATCGTTTTGTAAAAGTAATCAGTAATCATGATTACATTTTGTAATCATTAATCATTTTGTAAAAGTAATCAGTAATCATGATTACATTAATCATTCAATTGTAATCATGAAAATTAAAAAAAAAATTGTTTAACCGCCCCAGGCTTTCTCTAAAATATATAATATATAAACATATTATATAGAGTGTTCCACGGTGATTTAACCTTTATAATCCCTTGGAAAAATTATTTTTTTAATTCTGCTTTTTCTAAATATTTCATTAGCCAACAAGAAGTTTATTTATATTTTAGTAATTTTTATTTAGTAAGTAGTTAATTTATATTTTATTGGAATGGAACGGTGCTATTTTTCGTACGACGCGTCGATATGTAATAAAGAAAACCTAGGGCGGTTAATAAAATGTAATTATTAATCATTTCATGATTACAATTAAATGATTAATGTAACCATAAATATAATCATGATTACATTTATATGATTAATGTAATCATATATGAGGCGCCTAGTTTCAAAACCAGCTATACAACTTTGGAAAGTTTTCACAAAACAACAAATAATTTCTTTAGATAGAACCAACCAAGATTTTCAAACAAACACAGTTTGAATTATTTGTATTCTTTATTTGATATTCAATAACAGTTTTACATAACATGCAATACATTGTGGTCACTTAAAAAACAAACATGTTGTCAAAATGTCTTAGGACTGGATTTGAAACTAGATGGTTCATATGTAATCGTGATTACATTTATATGATTACATTAATCCAACACTATGATTATTGATTACAATTATTAATTGTAATCATTAATCATTAATCAGATTAAAATTTGCCCAACACTGATTTTTACACTTTTAAACCGTTTTAAAACCAATTCAAATTACAATAAAATGTTTTAATTCCAAAACCAAAAAGTGAGGATTTTGATTATTGTTAGACTACAAAAATGTTGCAGTATTATGTTTACTAGATGAATAAAATTATGTATTTATATCGATTTTCAGGCCAATCGGTAAAGCGAGTGGAAAAGAAATTTACATGTACGACGTGACACACAACCGGGTCAGTAAATTGTCCGGTGAGCTAAGTGCGACTTTCGTGGACGTGGCCGAGTCTAACTCGCAGAGTCACGACTTGGATAACTTATCGTCGGACGAGGAAGCGGACGTGGTTGTGTCCGGAAGTAGTGCAAACAATGATCCCCGCATCGTATCCGGTTACAGTAAAATGAATAATAATAACTCGGCGAGTAGGAAAAATGGCGCAAGCGATAATTAGACTGATCTAATATGAATACTTTAAAAATGTATTTAATTGTTTTTAAAAATAATCGGTTTGCAAAAAGTAATCGAAGCAAATTATCAACTATTTATAATAACGACATCAATAGTAATTTATATCAATGCATTATATAAACGATATCAGTGTTTTATATATATACAACAACAGAAACACCGATAATTAATAATTGTAATTTTTTTTTTTTCATTTACCCGATTGGTATTTCTTTTTGACAAATTAATCACTTAATATAAAAAAAATTAGGAAAACTGCGCAGAGAAACGATACGAAATCGTGCGTTCAAAAAATGTGTATAGCTACAATACTTATGTTAGTTATATTATTGTGTTTCATTGTATAAATTATGTTTGCATAAATATCGACAATTATAATATTGTTTTGGAGTTATTATTGTAATTTATGATAAATCAAGTGACTTTTTCAACCAACTTTACCTGTTAAATATACTACATAATAAATAATTACTTGGATTGAAATGTGTCGATAGAAATGTATTATTAAATTAATTGATTTATAATATATATATATATATACTATATAGAGTCAATGGTACCAATTAGATAATATGAAAATAATAGTACCCAGAGCAAAATCAGTTGTTCAAAAATATTTATAAATGTTTTAAAATGTGTCTTCTAGGATTATTATAAGTAATCAACAAAATACTTAGTAGTAGTTTTTCTTTACCAACGAATCAATAATTATTGATATTAATCTTTGAAAACATGACATTGGTGTCACAACTCATAACCTACAACGAACAATTGCATTTTAATGTCAATAATGTTTTTATAACTTTGGTTTATTGTGGAAAATAGTCTTAAAAAATTTGAGATTGTACCAATGTGTCTATCACTCGGTGAATAATTAGTTAATTGCCAATTAAATCACTTTAAAATAATAAAATGCAGTATTAAATCCTAGTACCTTATTAGTTAGATATTGGGCTACGCTAGGAACATATTATATTCATAAATCATCATATTATAATTGATAATTAACAGAACGGAGAAATGTTAATAAGAGGTTGTTATAATTTATTATGTTTGCTATTTGTGCTTTACAAACTTTATGGAAGAAATGTGCTTAAACAAACCATTTTTAATGCACACGGTACAGAGTGAATTAGCTAACTAAACCTTTTATCAATTTCTTAAAATTCTAATAATCTTTAACTGTTCCTATTATTTAGACTTCCTGACATGAAATAATATACATTTTTTAATTATTTGCATTAAAAATACACCTTGTTTGTTTTTACTGTCGTCTATTTTTGATAGTCAAATGACAACCTACAAACTTGACAATTTTTTTAATACAACAATTATCCAAACATGGTAACTAAATATACAAATAAATTTACTTCACATAACGATTATAGGATTTATGTTCATATAAAATGTTGTTTTGTCACAAGTACATACTTAATATAATATGTTCTATTACCAAAATAAAACGTTATGTTGTTTGTATTGGTTGGCCTAATTACATAGTTACACTTATCGTAATTATCGTTTAATAATTAGCTTTATAAATGTAGATAAGTATTTTAATGGGTCGTTAATATTAATGAAATTGTTTGTACCTACAGGCTATATTTGTATTTATAATGTACCAACAATTGGCTTGGATCCATATGAAACAGCAAACTATTTCTCTTTAATCTATTTTCGTACTTGAATATTTAAAAATAGTATAGTGTTATTTTATAAGGAGACAGTCGAATACAAATAATAAAGCTATCAGATATTGTGTTTAAAAAAAACTAGATGCTATTGTGTTAGGAAAACAAATTCACTCAATTCGATGCTTATGAATTATATCCGATATAACAATAATGATTAAAAACTCTAATAAAGTTTATAACTATATATATTTAATGTAGAATTGTTTAAACCCTTCCTTAAAATGTATCGTAAATGAACATTAGTTAACATGAAAAATGTTTAATGGCATTATGAGAATAATAAGATAACAAAAGGAGAGGAATTTTTTGGTTCTGTTTTTCAAAAAAAAAAACAATCCTTATCATAATAAGGTAATAACAATACGTTTATTTATTTATTTTTTTTTTTTTTTGAAAAACGTTTAACATTTTTGTGCAATCAAAACGAAAGTAGCAAAATATATTTTAAACAAGTACAACCGACTCCTAACAATATTTCGGTTAGACGACATAACTTACTTCGGAGAAAAAAACATAAAAATATGTACGCTGGCGCGATTGGTGCGTGGAAACTAACCTTAAAAGTAAATAAAATAATAATAAAAAGTCAACGAGAAACTGTGTAAGAAAGGGAATACACCTAACATGATATGAAGAACAATAAATTGCAGTATCACACGTTTAAACGTTTTGGAGGGGGCAAGCGCGGGGGATCTCATCGATGATTCGTGCACATGACCCGTGCGAATATCGCAAACATGGCCGACACCATTGTTTTGATTGCATCTGCATGTTAGTAATTATTGTATTATATGATGTTTTATTCTCAAAATGATCGCCGCCCGCCGACTGATTGAATATTGTTATTTATTTTCTAGTATTTTTTAATTGCTCGGTGTTTCTTTTTATTAATACACCATCGTCGATAATGTGAACGACACAATTGCTACCGGCAGCCATCGACTACAATTTTTGGTGAGTTTTCTTATCACAAAAAAAAAAAACCCTAATTTAATATTAAATCTCGACTTTTTCGTAGGAGGTACATTTATAACGTATAATTTTCTCGTGTTAGCCCTATGCTGAATTGACATTTTGAAATTAATATGTTTTCACACATTTTTAATGCCGAGTAAAGATCACATCACCGTCACTCACCGATCACGACGTCCGGGGTAAGAACAATTCTGACAAAATACAAATCTTTAAATGTATTCCAACATAATACAATCTTATCTCATGAAATTCGCCTATTTCATTCATCATAATATTTTAATGTTATTAATGCTAAATTTCAAATAAGTCTTGACCGATTTACTGTTGTACGACAACGTAAATATAATGTAAAATAATTTTATTTGTTAATTTTTTTATAATAATTTAAATAATTCTATTGTGTTTCATTAGATTTTTACAAAAGCAAACTGTCCATGTATAGGGCTTGAATGATTTAATTATACAAATTTATATGATAATTAACCTTAGTTCATCTTTATGTTATAATGAAAACTAGTGACAATGTGGGTTGGGATTAATGAAAAGTTTGTTAGAATAAATAATAAATATACAAATAATATAGACAATAAAGACATACTAACAGGCTTTCAATTGTTACATATTATTTGTTCCTTAAATTTAATAATTGTTATTTTAGTCAGTTAATGCAACTTTTTAAGTAATAAAAAATATGATCTCTCTATTAACTAACACCTCTAATATACTATACACATAATTTGTTCACCACATCTTCTTCTTAATAGCTTATTTTTTACGTCCAAAGAAAAGTTGTTATTAAAACATATTTTTATATTTATATCAGACATTAAAAACTCTTAAATGTATAGCAGGTTTTTTAATAAACCATAATTTTTTTTTTAGAAAATAATACATTAGTTAAAAATTAACATATTATTAATTAACTATATTAAAATGCATTTAACGGTAAAAATTCTATTGTTCTTTTGTTTTAAGACTTAATGTCTAGTCAAGGCTGCAAAACACTGGGAAACTATATCTATAAACATAAAACAATAGCATTAAGTAGCTATTTTATAAAACTGTAATTATTGTAATAACATTTCAATGTTACTCTCATTTGCGTAGTTTCTCTATAAATATTTATAAAATTATCCGATTAATATTATGTTAACACTTGATAGTTATTGCTGGTTAATAGATAACATTACAATTTATTGTTAGGTAAATAAATTAGTTTACTGGTGTGATGTTTGAATAATGGTTGTCACTTAAACAAATATCATTAACCACACTTGGTTTTAAAATACTTTGATGTAAAATATCTTTATAAAAGTTAGACTGAAGCTCTGCTTTATAACAACTTCATCGTTAATGTAAAAATAAATTAATATCGAGAGAATTTTATTTTTTCGCTTTAATGATGACCATTAATATTTTTTATAAACCATTAACTATTTGTGCATCTAATACATTAATTAATTTAATATATATTTTTAATTGTTTGTAGATTTCGAAAATGGACAACGCTGGTCATCATCCATCTGCAGTGAAAAAACGTTCCATCGATGATATCATTAATAACATTACGTCGGATCTCCAAAGTTATGAAGGTCGTTACATGGTTTTGGGTAACCCTAGACAATCAAATGATTTTATGTGGCAGCAAGTTAATAACTATGCAACGCCACAACAGCAACAACAACAACAACAACAACAACAACAACAACATAACATTTATAATCCCGAACCAATCAATTTGACAAATAATCAATATGTTTTGAACTCTAATCAGTATAACCGGTACATGCAACCTCAAAATCCTATGCCACCGGGTTTTGTAAATTATGACCACCAAGTTTATCCACAACATCATCATCATCATCATCATCCTCCTCCTCCTCATCACCATCAACAGCCCCAACAACAACAACAGCAGCCGCCAACACCACAACATCCTTCTCAGCAACAGCAACAGCAAATGAACTATACTTACTATCAACATTCACAATATAATGGCCATCCTGTATCATACCAAACTCCGTCGTATGGCCTTTTCGATACACCCTGCAACGATGCTCTAATTGAAAACTTAGTTCAAAGTTGGAGTCAAACTCAAAGTGGAGGTGTTTTTAGTCCATTTGGGAATCAGGCGTTTCAGACTTCAAGAGAAATGATCCCTGAATGTGAAATCAATGTTCACAATAGTTCACTGCCCTTTAAGGATAAAACAATCGCTACTCCAGTGAAGAAGGTTCGAATGGTTGCAGAAGTCCGTCCAATGCGACCAAGTTATTCTGATGTTCTTGCTAAATCTCCTGCTGTTGGCCCTGTAAAAAAAACAGCGGTTTGTACACAAGTAGAAACACCTTCAGACATTAAAAATACTTCAAAAGCCAAGACAGCTGTTAAAAAGAAGAAAAACTCTACAAAGGTTTCCAAAGTTGAATCCGGTTTGAAAAGACAAAATTCTTCAGCCAGCAGTGAAGAACGTAATACTCCTATTATCGAATTCAAAGAAGATAAAAAATCTGAAGCTTCAATTAATAGTAATGATAAAATATGGACTTCTTCTGAAGATTTAAATGGATCTGAATATTACGAAGCTGATGAAAATGCATACGGTAATATTCCGGTACCAAAGCCTAAAGAAACTAAAAAAGATAAAGTCAAAGTTAAAACCAAGTCTACGCCTCATCCAAAAAATTTAGGTAACGTTTAACTGTTTATACATATCATCAAAAACTCGAGAAAACAAAATATTATTTTACAGGTCACAGTTTTAAGCCTTATAAAGATAATGTTGACAAAAACAAGACGAGAAAAACTTTAAAATCAAGCAATATGAATGGCGTTATAAAAAAAGACAAAACTATTAAAGACACTAAAAGATGTATTGAAGTGAACCGTATGTATACTTTTTTTACATTTTGTATTGATTTACTAACTTATCTAACGTTATTTACAGACATAATTATAAGTAACGATAGCAATACTGAAAAAGCAATTGACAACGACAAAATGTCTTCTAAAATTTCTTCGGTTGTGTCTCAGCCACAACAAACTACTACTAGCAAAAATCAAGGATCGCGTAGTACGGCTACATTTACCGCCTTGCCGTTCAAAGCTAGATATCAGCGTGTAACTAAGAAGCGTCCCCGTAGCTCTGCCATTAATACAATGAGTAAATAATTTATCAACAAATAATATCAAATTTTTTATAATTTATATACATTTTTTTTCCCAACCATTTTTAGTTAGCAAGTATTTCAATTATTTACAGTCCCGGCTTGTACAGTACGCCCCTTTGATGGTCTTTTGGTTTATTCATTTGCTATGGGACGTTATCACTATGAGTTTACATCTACTTATTCATTTGTAATTATAAAAAATTGAAGTATTACGATAATTTTTATATTAATTATGCAAAATGCCCATAGGTCGGCATCTGGCATGACTCAAGTATTTGACTCTTGCAAAAAATGTTGGTCGCAGTTCTGGCTTGGAATAAGTGCACCGTTTACAGGTGCATCTCATTGGGCAAGGGTTAGATGGAAAGATCCTCAACCAGACAACACTCTCCAGACAAATATTCCACTGCCAACGACTGGTGAAGAGGCTCTAAAAAGGCTGCTAGCTTGTAAAGGCAAAGATCCTTACAGGTATACTCACAAAAAACATCCCCCCCCCCCATTGTTGTTTTGTGGATATTGTGTTTCAATGGCTAAGATTATAGTTTATTGTTGTTTGTTGTACAGTATTTTGGGTGTGACTAGTGACTCTTCGGAGGACGATATCAAGAAGTATTATAAGCGACAAGCAGTTCTTGTTCATCCAGATAAAAACAATCAGTCGGGTGCCGAAGAAGCTTTTAAAATCTTAATTCATGCATTTAACATGATAGGAGATCCAGTAAGAAACAGGCTTTATTAAATTTATATTATTTTCATAAAAACTAAAACACAACAAATATTTTGAAACAGGAGAAACGTAAACTTTACGATAGTGGTATTGAACATATTAAGGAAAATTACGACGAATTGAATAAATTGCTGAAGAATCTTCATGAAAAAATGGCACAAGTGGCTAATACAATCAGGTAATACAACCTTGTTATTTTTTCTTCCGTGTTGGTCTTTTAACCAATGAAATTTGCCCATCAGATGTACGAGTTGTGGCAAACGGCACAAAAGAAAACTAGTATCCTGCCGTCCAATGTACGCTGCACGTTTCTGTGCACTGTGTAACGTCAACCATTCGGCTCGCGACGGTGATATCTGGGCAGAAAGTAGTATGTTTGGTTTGCGATGGAAATACTACGGTTGCATGGACGGCGGTATATACGACATAACCGATTGGGCCACTTGTCAGCATGGTAGTTTGAAGCATATGAAAGCGGACACACATTCAGTACAGTACAGAATAATATTTGGGGGCAAACAACAAACTCCCGAACCAACAGTTTCCACATCGCCGCCTCCACAACCGCGGACTCAAGTGCCTCCGCCGCCCACTCCGTTATTTGAGTATGTTAAATTAATGTTGAACAAACTTTTAAATAACAAAATCTTCTAATAACATTTTTATAATATAGTTTTCACCAACCTCATTTGGATGAATTTCTAAGTTCGTTCTACCAACATCCTATGCCGGGATCAGCCACTAACGGAGAGTTTGGTACTACATCGGATATTCCCCGACAACGCACCAAGAATAAAAGGAAAAAATAAACCAAGTTGCTTCCTTTAACAAGCCCCCGTTAGATATTTAAGAGTTCAGTTAAAAAAAAAAAAAAACGAATTATGAAATAAGTATAGGACGACTAATCTTCTATAAAAATTACACGTTTCCTATTTAATTATTATTTTCTGCGTTTTAAAATAACCTTATCACTTCAGTAAAATCAATAATATCAGCTAACCATAATTTAATTTTTTTCATTATCATTTTTGTCATAATTAACACATCTTTAAAATCAAATCAAGTGGTATTATTTTTAATAATTTGCGATAGTGTTTTATTAATTTACTACTACATACCTAACATATGATTTCCTATTCTGTTTTAATGCTTATTCTTTTATTTAACTTAATATATTAATATATATTATTATAATAATAATTTCATCATAATATATTCCTGTTAATTTACGTTTCAAGTTTCCTTTTTATTTAAATGATAACCTAATTTAAAAGTAAGAGTTTGTTTATTTAATTTGTTTAATAAATTAAATTTAACATTGTTTTTTTTTTTCATTTTCATCTAGTGCAACTAGATACTACGTACAAATTATAAAATACATAAATTCTGTGAAATCTAAACAACAATCTGTTATTTATTAGAAAATAATCTATGATTATTTTTTTTCGAGTCAAATGTATTAATTAATTAATATACATGCAAAACTAATTATTTAATACTCGTCCAAATGCTAAGAAACTATAACTTTTAGCGAAATTAAAATATTTAAGTATTGTATGCGGTTTGATATTGAAAGTATTGTTTTATATACATATATAATATATGATAAGTAAAATTTCTATAAAAATATTATTATAAATTTAATATTTTGCATAGACGTTTTATAGTGTAAAACTTTAACAATGGTAATTAAATAATAAAATATACGGTTGTGTATGACAAAATGTTTGTTAAATCTAATTATCAACTGTAAAACAAGAGCAAAGCTCTGAAGTTTCAACTAAAAAAAAAAAAGTAATATTCAGTTAATACAAAACTTGACATTATTTCAATAGTTGAATCGGAAAAAAAATACAAAGTCATAAGTTTAATAACAATATTTTGTAAAAATAAAAAAGGAACATCAAATAGTACATTTATTTCATTAATTTTCTTTAAATACAATAATTTACCGATGGAATGAAATGTTAATAATCGTACACAACGGATGGAGCGAGTAGCGACTATTTATGTGTTAAACGATATCCTGAGAGAAATGGCGTCTTAACAAATGTTTAACATGGCCCGATTATCAAGAAATACATAGTTTTATAAAAAAATCACCTTCACCTTTGGTGTGTTACAACAAAAATACAAGTTACTCATTTTATTTTGCTTTGTTGATCTAAATGAATTAGTCAAATTAAAACTATCGGCTTTCGATGTTCAACTTATGTTTTATTGTTCGAAAATATTTAAACAAAAGCAATTAAAACAAATTGTTTTAAATGACACAATTATGAGCTCGTAATGTACCTCGTTGAAGACTTATACGATAATTTAGAATAATTATACCAATAATATAATCGTTGTTTTTAACTAAAGTATTTTTTATAAATAATTTGTTTATCTTAAAAAATATACACTTATATTTTGATTACCCGTTATTCAAAACTATCTGAATGATTCAAATGATGACAATAATACTTAACAAGTTGTTTACTTGATGCTTAATTTTTTTAATCTTACAACTATATTGCACTAGGTACAGCGTAAATAATTTCCTGTCGTAACAAAATAGTTATAACAAAAGTCAAAAAAGTAGTTTTCCTAATTATAAATATAATCTAAAATATAATATAATTTGTCCATATACTCTAATTATTGTTTGTTGTACAAAATACTTACATTTTTTTTACAAACGTAAAAATGAAACGCAGCTGAACAATTTGATAAAACAAATTTTACAACTCTATAGCCTCTTTATTAGTAAACATATATATATATAAAAAAAGAACAATGCATATAATTACGCAATTCTTAAAAGCTTAAACTTATTTGGTAAAATGGAATTATTGCAGAATAAAATGTATAATATAATTTGATCCAAAATTTGTGTTTTTGCCTTTAGTCTAAACCCTGAATGTAGTCTTAATTTTAAAAATGAGTTTGGTTAAATGATTTACAAGTTCACATTAGACTACGATAAGCACTTAAGAGGACGTTATACCCCCGTGTTATTGTCTTTAGATATTTTATAATGGTGTTTTTGTTCTAACCGAGTAAAACGCATTCTGCGGAGTTATGAAGCTGTGAAAATAAATTAACCACCAAAGTGAGTCTTAATAATTGAATTAATACTTACAGTACCTTTAAGTTTTAAATAAAGATTTTATAAAAAAAAATTGCCTATACCAAACTTCTTAATAAATAGGAATTATAACTTCCTTTTAAGAAAAATACTACATCGAGAATTTGGACCTAACAAATCACTGAAGTCTTTGAACTTTTAGTTGCGATTGAAGGGTAGATACGAGTTCTTCTAAATCTCGAATTCGTCTGTCTCTGTGGGCCAATTGCTTTCTTAACATGTTTAACTCTTCGCATTGTCTTGTAAAAGCTTTTTTCATCTATAATATACAAATTGTTTATTAATTATCTAATTTGTAAGCCTTTTTTTTCTTTTTAATTCATAAATAATCTTAGAACTAACTTAATTAAAATAGTCAGTACGTCAAACTACAGAAGAGACGACAACGTAGAATTTAAAACTTCATTAAGATTTAAAATCGGAACTTGGATTATTGGAAATAAATACATATTATGAACAAAAATAGAGCCTGCGTGCATTATATGTTGAAAACAAAAAAATATTAAATATTAAAATAGATCTCTCTCTATCCAGTGATATAAATGTAAATGTTTACAAATTTTAGCTTCATGTTAAGTTTTTTGTGAGTAGTTTTTTGCAATAATAATTTTTTCGAGTAATTTTCCCAACCCAATTTGCTAACATTGATCTTACTTGATATTCATTTTTAGAGTTGTCGTTATTGTAATTGAAATTTTCAGGTACTCTGGTATTGACGTAATCTTCTTCTTTATTACCCTAAAATATATACAAATATATAGTAAGCTCATATAAATCCTAACAGAGTGTATAAACTAAGGTAAGGTGTTCACAATAATATAGAAAATCTACCCACCATTGAATTTGTTAGTTTTTGTTGTATTTGTTGAAATCTCGTATTTTGGTTTACTTGGGTTTTTTGTATTTTCTCATTTTCCGGTAAAATCTACAAAATTTAATCGGTTAAAAAAAAGATTTCAAAGAAAAACGACGTTTCAGTATTCTCACGTCTAGTGGCCGATAATCGGGTACAGTCTCCTTCGAAAGAAATGCATACTTCATACGATAATTTGTGTCGTTACGAGTTGCTTCGTTGCATACAAATGCTTGAGGCTTGTGCGTTTTTACAGAGACACCTGCCAAAAACAAGTCAGAGTTTTAAAATATGTATATTTTCAGTTTATTTCATATTTATTATTATTACCAGTTTTCATCGACATCAACACCGGTGGTTTATTAATGCCGCCAAACCATTCTTGTGCACTCAAAGCTGGTACTGGCGCGGCAGTATCGGGATACAAGTCGTGTTGGTACTGATCGCTCTAAAAAGGTAATTTTAAATAACTCAACATTTTGATTGCTCTTAATCATTAAAATTATTTTCAACTTACTTTGCGTGGAACTATCATTGAAATGGGTTCACAGACATTACGGGTTGTATGCAATTTGTAAAACCTCATTATCTCGCAACGGCTCACATTGCAACCTCGTTTCACCATCATTCCAAATCCTTTCTAAGAGACATAATAATACATTTTTTAAAATTAAAACGACATAAAATCTTGAGCATTGCAATGTACAGTTAATGTATTAGTTAGTTACCTGTGGACAACCAGATATGAATTGATTCAAAAAGTGTATATAAGGATGTTCATCGACTATTTCATAGTATCTTACATTACCGTCGCCCTAAACGAAAATTAAAAAATTTAAATTAATTTTTTTAAATGAAATACACCGTGATGAATTTTACAATAGATACTCATCTTCTCAGAAAATAATTAAGACTGTAGTTTTTTTTTTTGAAAATATTTTTAATTATGCAATATTGTACAACGTTGTTAAATTACCAAAAATTGACCATTTTCAGTATTTTTTCAAAGCGCTATCAACTAAGTAAAACAAAGTGATTTTTTTCTGAGAATATTAGTCTTACTTTAAGTTGATCATCCTGTATTTATTATTTTATGTATTATATATGATGAATTACTTTTCCGGCTAAGTAAACCATTTTTGTATCGAAATCATAGTATGGAAATAAAATTCCAGAAGACGAATCGACCGTGAGACGATTTAATGGTTCTGACAAATCGCTATGATTCCAAACGGCCAGTTGTCTATCAGAATATGTCGAAAAACCTGTTGTTAGTATTCGTTCATTGTCCAAATAAACCGCCTTGCATGACCGTGAACCTTCATGGCAAATTCCTTCCTAAAAGTTAAAGCCGAATTGACTATATTATGTTGTGACAATTAAAAAAAAAAAACAGTTGATATTACGTACCGATACTACGAGCCCGGACCTAGGGTCAATTGTTCTGATTTTTTTGTCTTTACAAGTAGTTGCTAATCTGCTTCCGTCTCTATTGAAAGTGATCGAGTGCACTATATCGGGATGACAATCGATGATATTTATGGCTTGGCCGGTTCCTACGTTCCATAGTATAACCTTTAAAAACAACACAGATTAAATTTTATCCATTATAAGTATTTCGCATTCAGTGTTGAACCAAAATGGTTACCTGATAATCAAAGCCAGAACTAGCCAAAACATTTTCTGCAGTTGGATGCCACTCTATGTAACCAACTCTGCGTCTATGACCACGTAGTTCTGTTAACCATTCAGTGAGATTGCAACTCAATCCACTGTCCGGAATGTACCATAGCTTAATCTAAAAAACATAATTCTTACTATGTAAAACAAGTAGACGTAGATATGCAGTACTGATTCAATTCTTGAATTTGAGACTGACATCAGTTAAATGATTTAAAAAAATAAAAAGATACAGTGACACTCACAGTGCAGTCGTCCGAACAAGACGCAATTATATTGTCGTTGAATGGATTCCACTTAATATCCAATACAGGGCCACTGTGGCCAGTGACTTTGCTAGTATTTAAATCCAAACGACCCGTCTAACAAATATAATATAGAATTAAAACGGTTGATAAACTTGCTTCAAAAGGGAATGGTTTTTACCTTAGTAATTGGCAATACTAAAAATGCTCCTCCGCCTGCAACTTCAGTGACAATTGCTACAAATTTTGGGTTGGCTGCACAAAAATTGGAATCATGAGCATTACGCGTTATTGGAATATTATCGTAAAGCTCTTCTCTTCTAGATGGAGAACCATAAACGTGGCGGAACTTTGAACTACGCACCCCACGGAATAATGACTAAAAATTAATAAAATATTCAAGTACACAAGTAATGGTTGAATAATAAAATTTGTCGACACTTTTTATGAAAACTAATACGTTATCTGCCGAACAAAAAATAACACTTTGTCTCTTTGTCAATCCAAAATGAAGTGTTGTGTATCGTTGACAAAGTGAAATGTATTAGTATTTATAAGGAATGTCGTTATGATCATCATACAAATAAGACAAGTGCCATACCGTATTATTTATCATATTGATGATATTTTTGCATAAAAATTAAACTTCAATAGCATTCATGCAGTTCAAAAACAAATCTAATGTAAAACTAAACTGAAAAAAAAAAACAAAAATAAATAAAATTAATAATGAAAATCAACAGTTCTACATACGTTTAATGTACGTATATCATTTTGTCATACTCTACTACTAAAACATACGCAACTAATCTAATCATCAAAACACTCTCTTTTGAAATCAATTAAGACAAGAGCTAAGCTAAAAGTAACAGTTTACACTTAACTGTTACAAGTGTAATGTGTATAGTGGTATTGCATACAACACAATATGAAGATATTAGACTCATGAATTATGCAAAAGGACAAGGAAAACGTACAAATAAATCCTTTCTCTCGGTCTGTATTAATTATAGTGATTGTTACTATACCGTTTTACAACCGAGTAATTTCGTATTATTTAATTTATTATTTTAGATTAAATCAAAACTTAAGCACGAAATCCATCAGCTAATAGGTCTTATGATTAAAATCAGTATAATGTATGTTTCTTTGCAATTTTTAAAACAAGCTAGTTTTTTTTTTTAGCACTCGGTTTGATGTTAAATAACGTGTGTCGAACAACAAATAAAAATTAATCGTGCGAATAAATTTTGCAAACCATATAGGTACACCAAATACATTTTTTATTTTTTTTTTAATCGAGTACCTATATCTATTTATCTTTTTGGGCGACACGTTTAAAAAAAATAAAACTAAGGGTTTCATACAATACACATCACACCCTTTGGGTAATAAATTTGCGGCCACAGTTTTCTTCAGTCTTTACCTTGACGACCGGCTTGCTACAAGCTCTGATGTCTACCAAGGCGTTCGATTTGAACACATCGTCGATCTTGTAACTGGTGTGCTTGTCTAGTGTTCCCATGTTTGTGACGGAGTAATAATTAACAAAACCAAATAATAATTAATTAAATAATAATAATAATAAAAAAACGCTAACGACACAAGTCGACTAACGAGACGACCGACGACGACAAGTGAATGGACGCGACTGAAAGCGCGCGAGGCGAGAAACAATACAACACGAAACAAGTGCGTCCGTAATAGCGCGTTATTGCTATTGTTGACATTTCGACTGCGGCGCCGCGCCGGTGCGCTGCTCCGACGACCGACTCTCGTTGCCCCTATTATGATTTATGAGCAATAATATAGCGTGGGCGGCGGTGGTTAACATATTCTAACCATGGTAACCATAGCCGAGGGAGAGGGCGAGAAGGCCGGCGAGCCGCGGACGGGACGAGGTCGACAACCCGCGTCCCGCATGTCCGGCGTCCGCGTTTCATTGCTGTGGGTCGCGACGCCAGGGTCCAGACGCGACACGACGGCTCCGCGACCGTCCATAACTACTAATCCTCATTCCGTCGGCGACCCTTTTAACATTATTATATTTATGAATGTACGTAATTTTAACCCCGGGACGTGGGTGGGGGAGTGGAGTAGCTAGTCTGGAAATGTATTGGTGTCGTGCCTAATGCCTATAACCAAACCGATTATTGCAACTGACACTCAGTCAAGACAATATCTTTTAGTACCTATTTAGATTTAAACTGAAACTAAAATAAGAATTTCCTATTTTCATTTACGTTTATCTAAAAAACTTGACTATCGAACAAGTGTTGGAAAGTACCTGAATACTATAGAGGGAAGGTCTCTAAATGGAACTGTATCCAGAAAAGGAGAAATAAATGTATTGGTCGTGCACTGAGGGTTGAGTCATGATGGATTACTTGAATCCTACATATATAGTAGTGTTACATTAAAAAAAGTTTTTTTTCTAAATCTGCTTAAAAGAGAATAACTCTACGGAAATCGGCAAGGTAATTCACATAACTTTATGGATTTTGTCTGGTTCTTATAGATTTTTAAAAGTTAATTTTATCGAAAGTTTAACTACCTAACGTAAAATGTTTAATTTAAATTCACTAATAATTTAACACACTTATCCAATATTTCTCTATAGAAGTTTTATAAATAAATGGAGTAAGTCTAAATGATTTACAGTTTGACCAAAGGCTATGTATTGGCTGTAAAATGTAAATAGTCTTAGGTCACGATTCACTATGTATAAAAAATGACTGTAATGCAGTCATGCAGTAAGATCACGTGTACCATAATTCTATATTATGTAAATTTTAAGCATATAAATACTCAAGTTAACACGGACTCTCTTGTTAATTAAAATTGAAAAAAGTGTACATTCATAGTTTAACTAGCTGGTTTTTTTTATACGACATTCATGCATTATTTAAACTCGCAAATAATTCATTAAAATTTAAAAAAAAGTGCTGTGACATGACCTCGGATTTCTTTATTGTTGTGTTATAACGTATACATTATTATACCTAATAACCTAAGGTACTTGCAAGTGTTGAATGATGAATGGATAATATTATAACGCAATACTTATCTAATACGTTTTGCCATTGGTACCAGTTGTCAACAGACACTATAACATAAACAGCTAAACTATAACAAGTAGGAAAAGAAGTAAAAACAACAATAAAAATGAATATAACTTGATTGATTTTAACAATGACCAGATAATAAGAAACATATTACTCGACTATGGCCTTGATAACTATTTGATTTTTAGATTTGCAAACATGTGCAATAGACGTCCTATTATTATTATTTTACACTAAATAGTATAATAACTAAAATTAAACTATAGTAAAAAAATGATGTACAATTATTATTCATATTTTTTAAATGAATAATTATGCAATTAATTTTGCTTGCCTAAATAATATAATCAGAATAATGAAGTCTCCATTTTGTTCAGAGACATTCTAGTTGTCAGTTTTACTTATACATTACACAGTATAATTTGTGTACTGATAAGAGTATTTATGAATAATGTAAGACAAAATTAATGATCCGTAGTAAAATCCATTATAATAATATTTTACAGAAATCATGTTAAAAAATGTATAATAAAAATAAGTTAATTTGCATCACATATAAATAAGTACAAGGCGCGTACTTATTGATAAAAAAAAAAAAAACAATAAAAAATACTAAGTCACATTTGATACACAGTATGTTTTCTTATACATACATTTGTCGTAACCACCTCTAAAAAATATTATGTATTTTACATTGTAACACCAAGAAATTAGTAAGGCGGTGGCTGTAAACCATAAGGATGTCCTTGTTGTTGTTGCTGCGGATTTTGCATTTGCCTTTGCATGTGATGCTGTTGTTGTTGCTGTTGTTGTTGTTGTTGCTGCTGTTGCTGTTGTTGTTGCTGTTGCATGGCCATTATGTGACGGATACGTTGTTGGCTCAATTGCTAAAATAAAACAATAAATTCAATTAGTGGGGCTGGTGTAAGGTAGTGGGCATGTAGCTGGCTACTATGTGTCGTATAAACGGTTTGATTCCCGATGTCACTTTTAGGTGAATCTATAACATGTTGTATATACTCTAATTTGTTATGCAACAGATTAACAACACGTCCCGTACAGCCTATCTGTTAAGAAACTTTTTACTGATATAAGGCGACAGCAGGTTCTTAATGGGCCACAAACTAAATTTCTATCTAAAACATTCACACCACCCCATAGTTACACCACTCATTGTTTATACACTTACCTGTTGGTATTGTGAGTTTTGCGCCTGTTGGTTTGGCCCAGCTGGACGAGTGTATGGCGGTGCCGGATTCTGGGGACCACCCATTGGATTCATTGGGACATTTTGGTTCTGAAAAGATTACCATATTAATAAAATGACAAAACATAAATGTTTTTTTAATTGTAAATTTCGACTGACTTGCATGTAAGGAGGTCTCATTCCGGCTTGCTGCCCTACATAACCACCATAGTTTTGATTCATACCTGAATAAATAAAAATCATTTTTAGAATAAATAAATGTTCATATTCACTAAATTAAATTACACATACTGGGTTGCATATTAGAATACATTTGAGTTGGCTGTTGTTGTTGTTGTTGTGGATACATTTGTGGAGTGTTCTGTTGCTGTGGTGGAGGTTGTATCGGAACATTGTGTTGACCTCTTCTACAAATTTTTTAATACATAAATGCTTTTGTAAATAAAAATTACAAAAAGTGATATATTTTACTAACCGCATAAACTGTTGTCTAGGCATAGGTTGGAAATTAGGGTTCATGTTGGTCTGTTGGGCAGTTTGACCCATGTATTGATTAGTAGGAATTCGCATTCGCAACATATGGCTCAATGCTTGTTTAGAAGTATTTACTGGTCTGTCAAATCGAGATACAGGACCTGGAACTTGTGTAGGAGGCACTTGCTGAGAGTAAAAAGCTCCGCCCTGTGTTTGTTGTCCATAACCAGCCCATTGAGGATTTTGCTGAGGAACAGGAGCTGGACCTGGAACCGGACTTGGGCCAGGACCTTGTTGCATTGGGAACATTCCTCCATTTGGATTACCATAACCCATGTGCTGCGTTTGTTGGCCCTTTAATAATCATTATTAATTAATTTAAACAAATTGGTTACTTAAAAAACAACAAATGTCGATATTTCAAAAAATATATATATATAAAAATATTCAGGTATACAATATAAAAATTTAAATTACCGGCATTTGAGGATGCATTTGAGTCGGTCCCATTTGGGTATTTGGATTCAGAGGTGACATCGCTGGTGGCTGCTGTTGTTTCTTACGACGTTGGTTTGGTGGGCCGCCTTGAGCTTTCATACCTCGTTTCATGCCTCTTCCTGGTGATTCAGGTACAGAAGATGGAGTATCCGGTCGTCCTCCTGGTCCTGGGCCCATATTTATTCCTGGGCCCACACCTTTAATCTGGTTGCAATAAACACAAGGACACTACATTTTAAAAGTGAATGTACTGTTCATTTTACTTTCCCCAGAATAAAACAACAAATTATAAGCTCCCGAATAAAAAAAATATATCACTCATCGTAACTTAAAAGATAATAAAAACAAAAAAAGGACACGTAAAAAATATTTATAAATATACAATACCTAATTATAAAAACTGACATTTTAACAAAATTAGATATATTAAATATTATTTAAAAAAAATATGAATTGTTTATAAATTTGTACACGTACCGGTTTTTCCTGTGGTGGTTCAAGATCTTCAGGCGGTAAAGGTAAAGGTTCCAAAAAATATGATGCCGGTTTAACTAACGAATGTGTGTGGAACTTCAGCATCCTGTGATTCTCTTCGTACCATAATGGTTTGCGCTCTACTCTAACTGCACTAAACCAAGACCATGACAATGGAGCTGGGTTTTTGTGTCCCTCTAACAAGTCCCAAGTGCTTACACGTTGCTTATCACACACTTTCAAACCTTGCTTATCATTAGTGTCTAGTCCCGAAGATATTTTATTTCCTTTGCCATCCGTACCAATTTGTTCACAAGACACAATTTCACACAGTTGTTTTCCTAAAGGCAGAAGTTGTCTCACTTGAGAAATCGATGCTGAATGCTTTTCTCCTACCTCCTAGATTAAAATTCAAAATTTAATAGCTGTACAATTGCAGATTAGTTTCGTATTATTAAATTATTACTTTTTTTAATTTTTTCATTAAGTTTTGATAATGTTTTCGATTTTCTTCTCCTTTTTCTGTTTGAGAATCTGATACAAGAGTCGAATGTATTAATGTGGCCAGCATATCAATGACAGTGCTAAATAGTTTTCTAAGAAAAAGAAAAATACATAATATATGAGACGTTATATATTTAATGTATTTAATATATTAAACATCCTTACGTATTATTAGTCAAGTCTATCACACAATATGTCACAAGCTGTACTAGAAGAACTGCCCAATCAGTTGTTAGTGCTGTGCTTCGTTGAATAGTATCAAACATACCTCCGACGAGACTAAATCTTAAAGCAAGGGAGTCTTGCATTGCATCTACCACTTTATTATTGGCGCAACCTTCTTGAATACCAAGGCGCTCCTGTAGTTGAAAATATAATAAAAGTTATTAAACATAAAAACATGCAAACTTGGTTGCACAATATGTATATTATTTTTCATAAATAATTACTTTTGTTGTAATATTTACAATAGTTATAACTTAAAAGCAACCAACAAGATTTTTCATAGAGAATCAATCTCTTAAATCAACAATTTACTCAAGCATTATTTCCATCTTCGACCATTATTATTACTTGAATATTAGGTCCTTTTATACTCTACATATTCACATTGACGAATGTCAAGTCTCTGGTTATATTTTCCTTCAAATTTGTTACACTGTACACCACCATTACTTATTTTTTCGTTCCTACTCTGTTATGTAGTTCTTTATACTTCTACGGAACATACACTTTTTATTGTGCGCTTATTTTTAAACTAAATATATGTTAATTAATGTTTTTTTTACCTCCTTGGATAATAACAAATATTGTGATAATTGATTGTGTATCGATGACAGTAAACTTTCTCTTTGATCATCCTGTCCTTTTAAGCAGCTAAGCACCAATGACAAAAATGGCTGGTGGTACGCTAAAATAGCAGCGGGTGGAACAACGGGAGTTAAATTTTGAGCAGGTCGGGGATGAGGTGGAGTGCCTTTATTACTGCTCCGACTGCTACTGCCTCCTCCGCCCACTCCATGAGTAGAAATTGGAGTAACATTTCCAGATGTAGTACCACCTACTCCTACCATATTTCCACTTTCTAATACTTGGCCTAAATAATTATTTGAATAAGATATAAAAAAACAAGTATAATTTATCTTTTTATTTTTTATTTTACCAGCTACTTTAAGTACTCTTCCTTGAACTGCACTCGGTAATTTTGAAATAAGAGGTGCTAACAACCACATTGAATGAGTTTTTTTAGTACATTCACTTCTAAAAATATAAACAATATTTAATAAACAAATCAAATTGTCAGTAAACATTCTTTGTTGTTGATAAGTTAAAATTAATTTTAAATTACTTGTTTTGTGAGTTTGGATTATTTTGGAACATTTCAATGGCAGCTTTGGCCACAGTATCTAGCCATTGGTTTAAATCTGGAGAGTTGGGTGAAAATTGTTTGAACATGAGTTGCATTTCCAACCAAGACATTCTTAACGTCCATTGATCAGAATTCTATAAATAAATATATACATACTGGTAAGCTTAAATTATTTAATTTTCATATTATCTTATAAAACAGGGGTTGTTGGGTCACACCTATTCCCTCCAATATATTTATATTTAGATACATCTAGGGCATATTTAAATGTGTTTATACCTCTAAAATATTGGTAATTATAGTCTTTGAATCCAAAGAAATGTCAGATCCACTAGCAGTTTCTGGATAACAAATCATGTGCAAAAGTCTTTGAGCCTAAAATAATATCATGACATCAATGTTAGAACACACACAATTTACAGTACGATTATTTACTTGTTTTGAAGAGAGCATGTTATCTAAAAGCATATCTTGGTGACAAAGTTCTTCTGGATTTTGGAGACAACGTTCTAATACCCATTCTTGACTACATATTTCTCTTAATACAAATTGCGCTAATTCAGACAAACCCGGTGTTTGAGTGTCGGAATTTCCAAGGCTAAAAAGAAGTTAAAACACCAAATGCTATTAGTCCAGACAACTAAAAAAAACTAAATAAACCTACCCTCTTAGTTCCATCAATAAATGGTCAGCTGAGCCTCCTAATATATCGGTTGTACCCAAAATATGACTGATTGACAATTCACCGGACATTTTACTAGTGCCACCAGGAGTACTAACTTGACTTGAAGGTGATTTTTTTACAGACTGATTTGGGCGTTGTGCCGTAGCATCACCAACAACGATAATAGCTTTCAGTACGGCTAACAAAGGACCAACTCTGATGTTGTTATGAGCCGCAGCCAACAGATGTCTATCACAGCTCTGTTTGATACTACAACCTGAGCTTGTATTAGGTATCGGATTGGGCGACGTGCCTAATTAAATTACAATAATTAGCTTAATTTGTTAAATGGCGAACTTAGAAATAATTTAAATTTTACTAACCAACTGAATATAAACTAGGCTGAGGTACTTCGGTGGTTTTAAAAAGACGCAACAGTAAATGACACGTTAGTCTAGCACTTGCTTCAGCTTCAGGATCGGTGTCAGCAGCACCATGTCCTAAAAAATAATATATTTATTATTGATTTTTATATACTAAAAGAAAATAGCACTTTTTAAATATTACTGACCTTCATTGCTAACTGTCAGTAAAGAAGGTAAAGCAACGTGAACTACAAAATCTTCCAAAGAAAAACAATGCCGTGCTGTAAAGAAAATAAATATGTCAATTACAAATGTTTAGTTGAACTTTATACATTAATAGTATTACCATTGATTTTAATATACAGATAAGTGGTGCTATACATACAAATTATGGGCCTGTCTATATACTATGATAAGGGTGCCTCTTTCTGCTACCAATGCAAATTGATTTCTGTGTTCATGTATAGCTCCGCTTATCTGTATATTATAAAACCAATAATATTTATAAATACTTACCAACAAGAATAGATGTGAACAATGCTAAGGAATTGTGAACAGCTATATCGTTCATTTTAACATGTGAAAAAACATCGCCAAAAATAATGGGGTTGTTAGAAGAACAACATAGAGCCATGAGAACACCTTTAAACAAAGTAAATTATTCAGTCGGTACTTTTATTATTGTTAAAATGTTATATAAGTTAAATAACATGAAAGTATACATAAAGAAAAAAATAATTGAATTACCAAGCCATTCTGAAGCTAATGAACTACAAGAAGCTGTTAATTCTGCACTTAGTATTGCTAAATCATTAAGACGTTCTATATCTGACGTTTCAGTGGCAACAGCAATTATCACATTACAAACCAGACTGTAACGATTGCTTTGCGATTCGTTTAACTGTCTGTACCAGCCCGGATCAATTTTACCTATTAATACATAAATAAGTCGATTTAAATATAGCGTTTCAGAGTTAGAAAAAAACACACTTACAGCCTCTTCTGAATGTCGAAATGAGTTCATTCATATAACTAGAATTCCAGTTTCCTTGGGTCATAGTAGACGGCTGTAAATTTGCATGAAGTGTCTGTCTTATTTTTACATATAAATTATTGAAGGATTCTGCTCCAGGGAGACGACCTTTAAGTAGTGGAGCCGCTGATAAATATAAATCATATAGATGGGAAAGAACGCAGCGCTCCACACTTAGACATTCTGCAGGATTTGAAACATGTTTGACTACACGATAAAGATTTTCAAAAGCACCAACAACCTGTTCTTGATTCACTGTAAATAAAATACAATTTAATTGTTTAATCAAACATTTAAGTATAGATAAAATAATATTATACACACATAATAGGCAACAATGGTATCTACGTAAAACTCCAACAATGTACAGCACTAACGATGTTGTGTATACACGCACTAACGATGATCCCTTTGCAATTAGTTGAGCTTCAACGTCAGGTATATCCATTAAGATCTAGTAATAAAAACAATACTTCATTGACATTTTTTAATTTTATTTATTTCAATTAAAATGTATCAGCATTAATTGAAATTAAAACATGTTATATATGAATGTATTAATATTGGCTATTATAATTTTATTACTTGAATGCAGACATCCAAAAGAGTGTTTACATTTAACGCTAATTCCATAAGATCAAATAAAAACGCTACGTGTTCTTGAACAGGAAGATAATTCGAATTTCCTGTTAACAAAAATCAAAAAATCAAATAATATTACAAATAATAAAACAGTAGGATTTCGAACAACAACTGGTTTGTAGGTAAAAATTATTATAATTAAAAGTGACAAAGTCTCTTTGAATTTTCATAGATGTGAGCATGTAAAACATGAAAAACAACTTTACATTTACCGGCTTTAAATAAAATAAATAAAGATATTTAATACTAACTAATTAGTAATGATACATACTTAATAAAAAATAAATTACCTGTAGCAAATGCATTGATAGCTTCAAGTACATTAAGGCTACACTGCCATGTCACTACGTGTTGATCGAAATAAGATAAATTTTGTACTCGTGCAGTAGTAGCTTCAAAATTGAACTCGTTACGAGAATGTTTTTTTACTTTTCCACCTGAATTAAATTATATATATATTTGTATATAGAATTGTAGATACTAATATATTGTAATAATTACCTTCAGCAATATCAATACTGAACTTTTTACTAAACAACTTGCAAATATCTTTGCTTATGCGTTTAACAGTATGTCTTGCGTCATCTCTCATTTTTCCAAAACCATACAACAGAACATGTCTTTGATTACAATCATGACTTGTGGTCTCTTCATCCTAGAATTATTAATACATTTGAGTAAGGATATATCATTTAGTTTGTTCATCGAATATCGGATTTAAAATTTACTAGAGGTAATGGAAAATGGGTTGCATAAAGTAGATGGCGCGAAGGTCTACATTTATACATATTTTCATTGGTGTTAGTTGAAGGATCATTCGAATCTAATCCACCGATCGACGAACCGGCAAATGGTTCAACTTTAGGTGAATCTGGTGCATCCTAAAACGAATAAACAACTAATTTAGTTAAGACTTTTTATAGTGATTATTTAACCATTAATGTTACCATTGAATTTTGTTGCTCTTCTTTAATGTGTTGTAGTAATTTATCAAGATCATCATCGATTTTACTATCGTCATAATCCATATGTCTGTTGTGATGCTCCTAAATAATTATAATATTGAGTTTGATGAAAAGTATAAAGTTACAAAGCAACTTAATGCATTTTACTCATCACTTACTGGAACATTGGGTTTTAAATCAAACAAGTTATCATCCTCCATGTGAACTTGCCCTTGAGATGGACCAGTACCCGATGGCGTATCTGCTGGTTTATTACTGCTTGCATGTTGAGCCATTCCTAATACAGTAAATTTAAATAGTAAACACTATTAATTAAGTACTGTATTGGACTGCGAAAGAGTGGCGCGATGATTGGAATAACTTTTCCATATTAAACAAAAATCTGGTGCTACACCCCAATCAAGCAGTTAAAGGAATGGAACTGCCTAGAAAAGAATGGTTAGTATTAAACTGTCTACGAATTGGCCACGGCCGCTGTGGTGACATGATGTACATGTGGCTGCTTAGAGATAGCCCAGAATGTAACTGCGGCAATAAAAGACAAACTGTAACTCAAATTATAACAGAATGCCAGGCGAGAAAATTTAATCAGGGTATCGAAGAGATTCATACACCAAAAGCAATAAAATGGATAAAGAATTTGGACGTGTATTTGTGAATTAAATTTGTATGTAATAAAATATTTTAGTTATCATTACTTATTAGCAGCTGATTAAGAGTTAAATTTATATATTTTCTATGTTTTTTATTACTTATTAATATACTAATGATGTCATCATTATTATTTTTATTAACCCATGTACGGTCATTAGTTTAATTCATTTTTAGACCCTATTATAACGCTAATTTTGTGTAATCCATACAAATAAATAAGTAAGTAATATGTTTTTATACCAATATTATTAGTCGATTGTAAATCTCCTCTTGATATGAGCGTGCACATATAAGCATCGTGGGAAAAAACATCATTTCGTATAAGTTCAGTAAATAAATTAACTAAATTTGTGAATGTAGTACGGCTTGCACTAGTGTTTTCTGTAAATGTTCAAAAATACTCAAGTTAGTAATTAGGTATTAAAAAAAAAAAAAAAAATAGCTGCTCAGCTTCATTTTAAATCTATCAAAGTAATTTACTTACCTAATACTGGAGCATCATGGTCAAGGAAATTCATTAAAAGTGGTTGAAAGAGTGGAAGAGTGGATGGTGATGAAACAACAGAATCTTTATCTTCATTTGGGCCACCGGGAGCAACTTCTACAGACGAATCGCTTTCACGACCCGTAATTTCTGCCTGTCGTTTATCTAATAATTTCGCAACTGCCATACCACGGTGTTCACCGTGCCTTAAGTTACTTAAAGCCCATTCACATAAAACTTTAACAATAATTTGATCCTGTTCTATGGTCTATAAAATTGAATTTATTTATTAGTAAGAAATAGTGTACTTGAAATTCAACTAAAAATAGTTACGTATTCCACTTTATTATCCTTGGATGACTCATTTTCTATGGTTTTTGAAATTCCTCCAACAGCGATCGGCACACTGTTCGAGCTATCTTTTATACTTGGCAATGAAAATATTTTATTATACAGAGTATCTAATGAATTATTTTGATCAATACGTTCAAAACTATAACGGTCTAATGCATCCAAAACTGTTAAAATTTTCATTGTTTTTGCACCTAAAATATGATAAAATATAATATGAAATACTTGTTATTAATTAAATTTCAATCTGCATCACACTATGTTTTATGTTAAGTCTTATAATAGTGATATAATATTTCATCACTTTTAAATTTATATTATCTTACCAATAGAAGATTTGTGAAATTTATCTAAACACCATCTACCTTCTGCTGCTTGGCTCCTTTGCTTAACAATTTCTTCAAAATGTTTTAGTTTTATCCTAGAAAGTTTAATTAATAAAAAAATCAATACTTATTAAAAATAATTGGTAATAATTTAATATTAATTTTATATAAAAATATTGTGTAATTACTTTACCTTAATGAAACATTGTTTGTTCTTTGCGGCATAGGTAACACAACTGGTGAACAAGGAAGATAATCTAACGGTGAACCATTTAACACAGACGGAAGTTTTCCACCACCCAAGTGGTTCCAAACTAGAGAAGTAGGGCATTCCAGTGAAATGACCTATCGAAAACCATACACAATATTTAAAACATGTAATGTAAAACAACAATAGTAACTTACCTGAATTATACAACTTAGCGGAAGTATTATATCTCTATGATGAGCACAAGACATTATGTCATTAAGTATTGTTGCTGCATTGCTAGTTCCAGAATTATTACTATAAATAACATTTGAACAGTGGCCATAAATTATTACAGTTATAAACTTGTTTGTATTTAACTACTTTTAAATTAATATTAAAAATATTTGTACCTGGGGACACTAATACTAGAGGCGCCTTTAGAATTTGGACTCGAAGGGGGGTTGGAATCTACGACAGAATTACAAATTGTGTTTAATTTTCGCGAACAGAAGTAAACCAATTTACGACTCAGGAGTTCGGATTGACAAAACTCCGAACAATACTGCAAAGCTAAAGGACACAACACTTTTAATAGTCCGTCTTCACTGGACGATGATGATTTATAGCGCTCAAGCAAATCTAATATCCATTGGAGAACTTCTTGTCGTTCTAGTAGACCCTCCTTAAGGAAAAAAATATATATTAATAATTAATAAACAGGTTTTTAGAAAATAAAATATCAAGTTTTTATTATTTGAAATCTACATTTTTAAGAACACCAGTTCATACTTTAATTTCTATATTTAATAAAAAATAATCACCATACATTTTTTCCTTTAAATTATTTTAACGTTTAATTACGTACCTAGGGGTGTTCTAAACAACCCACTGCTTTAGTATTGAAAAAATTGTAAATTAATTAATATTTAAAAAACTTTTAGGGGAGATAGGAAGATGTTAATAGGTTTTTTATTTCCATAAATTTACTTAAATTACCAATAAAAGTAAAGGATAATGAAAATACCTCACATACCTAGTTATGTAGATTTTTATCACATACCTAAAGAAAAATTAAGATGGGTGTGATTAAAGATTTAAAGATTTTCTACGCTTCAAGTGAAAGAATGTACATCATGTACATGTTTTTACCACACTTCAGAGTTTGTTACATAATAAAAAAAAAATAATTCTGAACTGTAAGTATCTTTATTATTGTATAATAAAGACGCTGTAGAACTCTTTGTATGGAAATAGGATTTGTAATCGACAATGAAAGTTTGTGTAACAAGATATAATACGATATATAATTTAGCGTCTGCATGTGGGCAAACACTAATATTTTTTAAAAATTCTTAAGTATTTTAAAAGTATTAAACTATTTGATACTAATGTTAGTAATGCGAAAGAAGTATGATAATTTGTCCACGCAAAAAAAAAAACTCTCCTCGGGGAAGTACATATTAAAAACTACTTTTCAAGAAAAGATGAATTTTAAATAATTTTTTTTTTTCAAGGAAATAAGTGAAAATTTAAATAAAAGACATAGGTAGTATAATTAATTATTATCAGTAAAATTATAAGTATAAAAAAAAAAATCTTATGATTAATGAATATTATCGTTATTTATACTTTACTTGATACATGTATTTGATTAAACTAGTACAATAATTCCATTGTTTAAGTGATATTTTTTGTTCTTCGGTCATTGACATGTATTGCATTGAACAATTTATAGAATTTGATGCATTTTGGTAATAATCCTGAAGTTTAATTAATTGTTCTTTAGTAAATTTTAATAGCGTACTCGTCCATTCTACAAAATACAAAAAAAATTTAATAACATTGTTTTCTTGCATTGGATGATAAAATTTAATACGGAAACAAAACGAACCTAAAGTAGGATCAGGTAGTTGACGTTTTGATTTAATTTTTGCTTCGGATACGGCAATTGTGTAAGCAGAGCTTAATTTAATGAACCATGTAGCACGAATAAGTGGAACATTATAATCACACAACAACATAAATATTTCTTCTTTTTTGTTAAAATTTGGTGCCTGAAAAAATTAGAATTTTAGTTGACTTTTTTCAACAAATAAAAAAATAATATATATTTTTTATTTATACACTATATGTATGAATGTGTTGAAGCTTTCGCGGATTGAAATATCACATGAATAATTTTCGGATATATCCGCGTCAATGGTTGTTAACTCTTTCATGCACAAGAGATTTCAAAATTTCTATACCCAAGATGCACGGATACTTAAATTTTAAATTTTTTATTTTTTTTATCGTTGATTTGTACTTACATATGCATTAAAAATAATATTAAAAAAAAAAAAAAAAAATTAGTGGCAAAGTCTAGGAGTTACAGTATGTGGGATTACGTATATCCCACCGCACATACTGTGCGCACAACATTTGCATCTCGTATTTTTTTTTCATATCAATATACTTTTATACCATTTATTATAAACATACCCTAATATGGAAACGAACAAAAAAAGAACATTCAAATCGGTTGATTATTTCCCTCACAAATAACAAAATAAGTTTTGAACATTTTCTGGGAAAAAAAAATATGTGTATATGCCGATGCCTTTTGTTCAACATAGACAGGACAAATCGGCGTTACTTATTAATATTCTATAGACACACGGTCGTATGAAAAATGCTAAAAATAAACGAAAACGAGATAAATAAAATTTAGAAAAATAATATAATATGTGGTATATTATTTGTCCCACCATGCCGCAAAGGTGAATTTTTATGTGGGACAACTGTAATCCTACCATGCCGGAAAGTGTTAACCGATGTTTTGGACCCTTTGCAGAGTCCATCTTCAGGGTCATGTCACGACTGTTCCGCTGCCGTGACTGTACTGTACTAAAATATCAGTACAGTCACGGCAGCAGAACAGTCGTGACATGTCCCTGAAGATGGACTCTGCAAAGGGTCCGAAACATCGGTTAACAACCATTGACGCGGATATATCCGAAAATTATTCATGTGACTATATGTATGGTTATGACTGAGATGGACACATTCATAAAAGACAAAAAGTGAGTAAGTTAAGGCCAGTAAATTATGAATGTTGGGCAATAAAAGACAAATAGCTTAGAGGCTTCGTTATTAATATTTATATGAATAACGATTTAGTTTAACAGGCGATATAAGCGATTTTGAAAAAATAGGAATGGAGTCAGATAGAAGAAAGTTTAAACTGAATAAACAGAATGGTAAAACAAAAATGTTAAAAATGGTACATGAATGCCACTAAATCAGCAACTATAAATTAAAATTACTTATATAAAAAAAATAAATGTTATTATGGAAAAAACAATAGGAATAAAATATTATATATTTCCACCAAGAACTTATAAACTTAATGTTTAAAATGGATTATCATTAAAACTAGATAATTGTCCAGAATAAAATTAAAATGTTAAATTTACTTTTTTTGATAGTATATTCAGTGGTTTAATTCCAGCTAAATCCTTAAACCAAGCTTCAACAGTAGTTTTAGACCGTTGGGTGGCAGGCCAAAAATTGTCTTTAGGATTAATTTGTAATCGTTTTCTTCCTGTGTCTAACAGTGTGTTTAATTCTTCTTTTTTGTTGATAATCGCATTAAAGAATGCTCCAATTTTTGAGGCTGTAATATTATAATTACGGGCAGTTCCATGTTGGTGCTCGTCAGATATTGTAAGCGATGTAGTAAACCCATGTTTCACATTAACAGTTGTCAATTCGTCCTGAATTCAAAATAAATTCCAAATGGTGCTACACAACTACATACTACAAAAGAACAATAAATAAACTTTGTCACAAATTTACCTCTTTTTGCTTGGGTTCTTGAGGATAAACATCTGGAGGACCGAGGCGCGGTCGTTTCAATGGGCGCTTCTCGTAGGAGAAACCCATCATTTATATAAATTTTGTTTAATATTTCATTATAAACGATTCAATTTAAACATTACTTAAGGTAAACAATATATTCAACTTGGAACACTTCCATTCCAAACGTACTTCCTATCCTTGATATAATTCATTCTGATTACAACAATAAACAATGGAATCAAATCAAATTAAAACTAAAATTAAAAAAAAATCACAATTGAGACTATTAACGATATTTCTTTCTACTAAAATCTATTAATTTATAAATTTTATTTAGTATAACAAAAGTATAATATCTTTTATTTTATTGTTTACGCTATTTTGTTATTTTGATAAAAATATAGATATATATTGATAAACGTAAAACGTATGGTGAAAACAAGTCTTACCAACATTACATGTTTATTAGGTGACACTGAATATTTTTATTTTTTGCTATACTGAGTGATCCATCTGGTGAGACAACTCATTTTCTCAGAAAATATGTTTATTTTGAAAATAATTTGTTTTCCTTTACTTGTAGCCTGTAGGTACATATTTTACTATATTTTTCAACGCGTTGAACATTTTTAAATAAGACATTTTATTTGCTATATTTAATGAAAAAATGATAACCAAACAAGTGACAAGTTTTATTTAGCCGTATTAGAACCTTTTTTTAATTTAAAGTGTAAATTACTTAAAAAGTAATTAATTACAATATTTGTAAATACAACTCGTTTGAAATAATACAATTAAAAAAAAAATACAATATATTTGTAATAAGAACATATGTAAATGTGATTTAAATATAATAACAAAAAATAATACTAACCAAAAGTAATTAAAAAGAGGTAAACAAGACTTAATTAAAATTAGAATTTAGAAAAGCAAGAAATGTTGTAAGTTAGCAGATTGATGGGAGGAAATCTGAGGATGATAATACAAAAAAAAAAAGAATTTATAAACTTAAGTTTAATTATGTTTAGAATATCATCTTGAAATGAGGTATACAGACTTATGTGAAGACAGTGAAATTCAAGTAAAAAATTAAAAAAAGCTAAATGAAATAAAAAACAATTTTTAACTTAAATTACATTGAATTATGTGTTCTTCTATAAACAATCATTTGTTGAATAATTATCACTTAAAACTAACAAATTTTCAAGACATTCATTGAAATCCACTAAATCGATACTGCTGTCAAACATCTGACTCAATTTTGAACCTTTAACTTTATCAGAGTCTTTTTTTAATTCCACAATCATATTTCCCATTGAATTACTGTTGTGCAAACCACTAATGACTGTGCTTTTTGCAACCACTAATAAAAAAAAAACAATACATTTTGTCAATGATCAAAAATCTTCAATGATCTTGAATGTAACTAACATAAAAATTAGGCTATGAGTATCTTAACATGTACAATGTTTATATACAGTACTTTATAACTAAATCCTAGTTCATGCATTCTAATATAGTGTTAATATTGCTGAAATTTTTAATATTTTGGCCACCAAAAATTTAAAACCTTCCATTGCCATTATGTACCCAACTTATACCCATTGACTTTGCAGGTAGCCATTTAACCTATTTGGTTAAATCAAACAATATTTAGTGAAAGCCAAAAATATAATTTGGAAACAAATAATTACTAAGACATTGCGATGATTATTATAACGATTACTAATTGAACAATAATTATAGTACATCAACACAAAGATCTTATAGAACCTAAGTAAATATCGATCTCATTCGGAATATTAAAATTATTATTCTTCTTCTGACACCACTTTGGTAGTGGTCTATAAAGTTGTTTTTTTTTGTGGATTCTAACAAACACTATCGTATTAATGGTCCAAGCGCAGACAGTTCAAGGTATCAGATGACAATGAAAAGTCAGATTGAGAAACAAATGTTGTCTGTCTTCATCAAGTTAAAACAGATTTGGGATATTGACATGCAATTACCTGAGGTCGATGGTCTGGTAGTATCTGTTAAAAATCCATCTTGATTAATATACTGGGAAAATATGTTAGGGAACGGCGCTATTGTTTCTAGCGGAGATTCGAATCCTAACACTTCAGTTGCTCTCACTTGATCGCAATATGTCAAAAAAAGTTTTAACATCTCATTGGTTGAAGAGCAATGATGAGAAGCATTTTTCGAATCCTTTATAAGATTACTAAGAGAAAACAACCATATTATTATAAGTATTGTTACTCTGTAGGGTGTTAAAGTAATTTTAGCGTAATTTTATGCGTTCACCTAGCATAGAGCTTCTTTTCATTTAATCCTCTTAAAACAATTAACTGTGCGACAGACAAGTCTGTTGTACACTTTGGTGAAATAGGTTGCCATAACGGTAGTTTTGCATTTTCCAGGTAATCCATTAAATTGGATTTGAAATGGAATCCGAGAGGCATTTGTACAGAAGCACTGACCGCTTTTCGCCCTATCGGAGTTAATTTTGTGCATATGTCATTCATAGACTTGCATTGAGAACGTCTTCTGTATCCTAACGAAAACGTATCCACAGCCGAAGCTAATATAGCACTCGTATTGTAGTCTAAGTGGCTCTGAAAAAATACAACATGATTAATTAAATACGATATATTACCATTGATTATAAATATTTAATTTTAATATAATATAATAATTATTTATAATCAATGGTATTATATTTTAACACATCACACAATTCATTTAATTAATAAAATATATAAAAAATTCATATTTTTGTACATACTTTGTATGAAATATGTTCTAAACTAAGATTGGACAAACTTTTTGTCCAACCACCGTAAGAGGTAGTCAATGGAATGAATATATTCGAATGTTCAAAAAGCGACGAGAATAACAATGCAGTGTTTACTGCATATAGATCTATATTTTTTTCTTCGCAAATCTGATTGACTGACATTACCGGCATAGCAATGACCGCTTTATTTGAATAATCGTCTTTTAAATATTCAAGTGCCTTACAAGACAAACCACCGAATCCATTTAGAGAGTCCATCATGACATGAAATCCCTATTTACATGTTAAAGAACGTACATAATTAGTCTGTTGATCCAAAATATAAAACTGATAAATTGTTTGCACCTGTAAGTAATCGCATTCTTCAGCATATAATCGTAAGTTATCGACCCAAGTTTCTTTCATTTCATATGAGTCCCACAATGCAGTGCCTTGTGCGAAATTATCAAATGTGCGATTCGGATCATTGTGTTTGTACTCACTAACAGTCGTAATTGTTCTCGGATGAAAACGAGCTTTCAGGTAATCTGACCATAGCTTTACTGTTTCATCCAAATCGTAAACTTTTTCTGAAACGCTTATTTCTTTATTATCACCATCTAAAATAAATTGTGGTCAATTACAAATTGTACACTACAAATTCTAAATGTTACAGGACAGCCAAACAACATTTTTGGTTTTACTTTTTAACCAAATAATTGGTATTTGAACTACAATTAATGTGGTACCTAATAATTTAATTAAAATTTGCTTGCATCATAAAAATATAATCGATTACAGTTCAACCAGTAATAATTGTATCATGTGATATCTATTCAATGGTGAATAGTGTCAATAAATTTGTCATATTCCCCCCAAAATATAAAAGACTATTTTTTTCCACAGAGTTGCCTATGCTCTTTTTCCAGTCCACCATTGATAAATGTAAAACCTCGTAAGTGCAAAGTTTGAATGCATGACTCTAACCTTTTAAACATTTTTCTTCTTCAGCCAAGTCCAATAAAAATTCATTAGGAACAATTTTTTCTTCTTGAATCGTTTCAATTTTATTAGATGAACATTCTTCATTGTCTTGAAGTTCATTATTATCAGGTTCATATAGACCTTTATGCACTTTTGGAAGTTGATAAAAACTATTCATAAGATCAACACACAACAGACGAGGTGTAAACGTCACCTCACCCTATTTCAAAAACAAAATGATTAATAGTAAAATAAAAATCAGTAATATTACAGTAGGTATAATTTTTTTTTTTTTGAACCTACACAAAAATAATTATAATAGTGACGCCTGCTTAGGAAAAGGACCTTGGGGGTAACTTGTTAGATTAAGTTTTTCTGTTGGGAAGATTAAAAACTGAAACCTTTTGAAAGTTGAGAAGGTTGCAAAAAGTAGTTTTTTAGCTTGAAAATGTGTAAAATGTTTTTTATTTTTATTATAAAATTTTCATAAGGTCTTTTCTCAAGCTCACGTCAAATATTACGTTGATATCAAGTTTCACATTAAACAATGACGTCCATTTTATAATAATATGTTTTTGAAATTTAAACAACAACTTTTTAGACAGAGATTGAAAACTACCCTAAAAATACACAGGAAAAAAACAAGAATAATTACGCTCTATGTCTAAATTTAGTATCGTATTAAATCCTTGTTCTTAGGTTTTTGTAGATAATTAAAGTTTTAGTAGAAAAAATTATAAAAGACTGTTGATAAATAATCAACCTACGTTGTACAGACTACAGAACGAAAAAATACAAATACATTTAGTTTACCATTAAATTTGATCCTTCTCTGTAAAGAACGTCATGGCATACTTCTAACGGCTTTGGAATATTTTCATCGTAACTAAAACTGGCTTCCTATGAAAAGGTTTAAGAACATAATAAATACATTTAATTATTTTAGTTTCGTTGGGGAGCATAGAAGGTATTTTATTTAAATGTACAAGAACATAAAAGTACCTGTAGATTCCAGAAATGCGTTCCGATGAAATTTGAATAATTTCCAAACTGTAATGTGATACATTCTCTAAAGGAGTTCATTTTGATTTAAATTTATATAATTGACAAAACAGTATTCACATACATAAACTTATACGTGCAATTAAACTTGCGAAATCAGTTAAAATTAGTTTTAAAACTGCTCACAGCTCATCTCACATTGCACATGGTCAACAATATTATCATGATAAAAAAAATAGGCAATAGGTATGTCAGAATTTTTTTAATACGATGGCCGACTTTTTCCCTTTGAAAATACACGGTCGCCTGAGAAAACCGGCGGCCATTTTCCGGTTATCACAAGTTGCTGACATACCTGTTTATTTTTCATGATGTTGCTAGTACAAAAAATTGTTTCTTATATGATAACTGATAACAGAAACAACATATTTTCAGATTACGCCTACCTGTTATCCGCAAAATAGTACACTAGATTTTATGCGCCATTATTATATTTTATTGCAGATAATTGAGACATTAAACAGTAATAGTTCAGAAGGTGTGAATTAACTTCAATTGATACTATCTATACATTTTAATGATTTAAAATAAATACCCATAATGTCCATTTCAAGAACACATTTTTTAACAAGAAACGACATGTTAAAATAACAGTTAAAAAAAATTAATGTAGAAACTAATCATACAATAACACGTCTAGAAAAAAAAAATCTTATTTTATTTTAATAAAAACAAATACAAATTTAAATTTGTATAACAGTGGTTTTCAATATTTTTTGCTTTTGCCGTTTTCTCTTCTTGTTAACGTTTTGAGTTATGTTAAATACGAGTTCTTCTTCTTCTTGGTTATTGTTTATCAATAACAAAGAATGTAAATTTTCACCTACGAGATCCTAAAATGAAAAATGTGAAAATAGTTTAATCAAAGATCTTCGACACTTATTACTAAATATATTGAAATTGTTTATACTTACTCGAAATTCACTTGTTCTTTTATTAGCGAGGATATTTAAATTTCTTAACCTAGGCAGCATATCTTTCGATGATGTTAACGGTTTGTGCAAAGTCTGAACCAAAAATATAAGAGAACGAACGACCGCTTCGATGTCATGATGGGTGTGACCCAATAACGAAACCAATAATTCCATAAAGTAACATATACTATCAAATGGAATTAACAGTAACACCTCTTCTAATTCACTGTAAAAAATATTTAAATAAAAGTTTAAACTCAGCGGTTTAACCGAATAAGATGCACTAAACAAATCTAAGGGTTTTTAAAGATAGAATATGTCAACGATATGTTTGCTTATTCGAACTCAATTATAATTGGGCAATCTGTTTCTTAGAATAAAAGCAATAATTTCAATCATAATTTGTAATTATGGAATATGCCATACCTTGAACGAATTCTTTTGATAATCTCTAATAAATAGTCATCAGTTGTTTTTACATTGAACGCACTCATTATTAATGGTAGAGACGGTAAAGCCGTTTCTTTACTTTCACTTTGAGCACACGCATCTTTATATTCTTTAATAACGTTCAAACATTCTAGCAAAAGTTCTGCCTGAAATAATATAATTATATGAAATGATCATAATAATAAATTATGAAAATTTAGTTGTTATTATTAACTTGTCAACCTACTCCTTTTTCAGAAGTTATAGTTTTCTTTGTAGGCAATGAAAGTACAGATGGTCCGCCATAGACATTTGTGTCTTCGCCCGTAGCCAATTCATTATTATCTTCTTGCGCTCTTTCTTCTTCACGTTCATCCTCCAATACTAGTGGTTCGTCAGTTTTCTCATATAACCTTATAACATTGTCTTGACCAGAACTGATGACATAAGCACCGTTACTACTTACAGAAGAACTATAGCATTCACCACGATGACCCTGAAAAGGATTATTAATTTTATCGACAATACACAAAGTATTTTTAAAATTGTTTTTTTTTTACTTGTAATGTTAATATGCGTTCAAAGGCGTCTCCATCCCAATGTTTCACATATCCTAATTTGTCCGTGGTAAAAAACTGATGAGTTTGAGGTACAAATTTTATACTGGTCAAAGCCGAGTCCGTCGTCAGACGTCTGTGACAATCTCCGTAATCCAAGCCCCAAACTCTTATTGTTTTGTCACCACTTGCAGTTATAATAATAGACGAGTCGTAACTTATATCCAGATCGTTAATAGGAAGCGTGTGTCCGTAAAGATCTATGAAATACTGGAAGGAAAAAAAAGGATTGTGTACAAAAGCTTAAGGGTAAATATATTATTGTTCTTAAAAAAATAATAAAAAATGTATTGAACATTTTTATATTCTACTAATTTAAACTATACCTTGAATGTGTCCATAAAAAATATTTTGACGGTGTTGTCAAGTAAAGCTACTGCCAAGAGTTTGTTATCCGGGCTTACTTTAGCGCACTGAACATTTTCGTCCAACTCTAATGTTTTTTTATGTAATAATGATAAGACTCTTCTATCAGTCTCTGGCAAAGTAACTAATTCTAATTGCCACAGTTTAACTGTACTGTCTCCTCCGCCGGTGATGCATCCCAACTGCAATTCAATATATTAATTAAAAAACATTTTATTAGACTTAAATAAATAATTATACCTCATCCGGTAGCAAATAAATTGATTTGATGTCTTTGGTGTGAGCGGGAATAACTTCAACTACGTCTCCAGCGGCAATATCAATCACTAACAAATTACCATCTTCGAGTCCAGCTAATACATGCCGATCGCCAGGCACGACACACATACACTGAACAGGACTGGTTGTATTTACAGTACGAATACAATTTAAACTTTTCCTGTTCCACATTTTCACAGAATCCGCTCCACCGGTAAAAATGGCCAAATTATCTGAACTAAATGTTACAACTTTTGCGTAAGATCTATGACCGTGTAAAGAAATCTTGCGCACAAGTTTTACTTCTTTACTTTCATTCAATGGGATCGAGTACAATATTAAAGTATTATTGGCTAGACTTACGGCCACCTGATAAAACAAATAAAATTAACTACCATTTTTATAATATTTCACTAAAATGTATACTACCTTGATGTGAGTTTGATTTAACGTTACATTAGCAGATTTGATTTTGAAATCTGTTAAAATAGCTGGTAGTCTTCTAACAGTGTCTTGCAACGCTGGATTTGTTTCATTCAAAAACTTAACATCATCTATATTTTCTTCACGTCTAATTTCAAAATAAAAAAAAAATGTATTTTATAAATTTTTTTTTCAATGCTGTTACAATTAATTTTCATGTAAATAAAAAAACATCCATTCATCTTACTTAAGAGCTTTTTTTCTAAATTTACGTTGTCTGTTACGAAAACGTTCCAGTGCTTCTCCATCGTCGGTGAAAATAAATAGCTCCAGTAACTTTCCGTGTCCGTGGCAACAAATAATATGATTTGTATTATCCGTAGCAGTCGACACAACACGACCAGGTCCTTCTCGCATTAACGATCCCACTTTATCACATTTTATCGGAGCCTTAAAATCAGGGATTAAAATAATGTTATTTGATTAAAAATGTTTTATTTAAAATTTCTAAGCATAATTATTGAAAAGTACTAACCGCATAATCTAATAACCCGTCTGTTGACAAAAGTTCTGTCATTTTAATGTCTTTTTCATCTTCGTTAGTTTTTGATATTTTCCAAGTACGTAACTCAGCATCATTACTGCCGGCAACAATAAAATCACCATCGCGTAACACATTTAATGTCCATACCTATAAAACATTAGTTGTAAAAAAAAAAATGTATTGTTAAAATTTATTTATAATATATTACCTCAGTTATGTGACCGGCTAACGTTTTAAAACAGTGGCCAGTAGTCAAATCCCAAAATTTGATGTAAGTGTCTTTAGACGATGTCACTACAACATTGTGTTTACTTATAAACTTTATGTCTGTCACTACACCTTTATGACCACAAAGTCTATGTAATCCTTTTTCAGCAATAACATCCCAGACTACAGCTTCGGTATCCTAAGCAAAAAAAATTATTATATTTAAATTTAAATTGACTTTACTAAACATTAAATAATATCCACCTTTGAGCCTGACGCGAGCATATGACCGTCTGAATCATAATTTAACGCGGTTATCGCTGATCGATGTCCTTGGAACGTCCCAACTAGTTCACCAGTGGTCAAATCAAATGTTTTCACTATTCCGTCAGAATAACCGGCCGAAATGTGTTTGCCGTTGGGAGCTGTTGCTAATTTAACAACGCTCACTTTCTTAGAGGTATTATTTTTCGTATCTTCGTCTTCTATCATCATGACCTAGTGATCAAGTAAAAAAATTGTATAACATTAGACGATATCATATTGAGAAAAATGTTTATATATTTTACAAAATACTTACCAACTTGGCTAAACGTAAATCCCAAATAATTATATTTTCACAAGCTCCAACTGCAGCATATCGATCATGTACCCCGTCAATAGTTACAAAAATTATATTGCAATCGGGATGGCATATTATGTTGAAATTTTTCAATGGAGCGTAACGTAAATATTGTTTAGTCAAACCCATTTTTTGTAAGCAATATGTTCAAACGCCTTACTGTAATAAGGTAAAATTATGAATATTTTTGTGTGCTTTTACAGTGAGAGTTTATTAATGTAAGTTAATTACTGTTAAAATCATTTAAAACAATAATTGTTGTCCAAGTACATAATCATTATTAAAACATTACTTAATTTTTGAATAGTTTAATATAAACAAAGTTATAGAAGCTAACCAATTACCAAATTTGAAATTGAGTATTTATGAATTATTATCATTCTAAACCACGTGCTGCCTTCAAGTTCTTATCACTTCTTTTGATTTTTTTTTATCACACTTGGATTTGTATGTTGAGTTTTTAACGCCATCTAGTTGCTTAATTTTAACTTTCAAGCAAATATTTACAAAAAAATCTAGTAAAATTTGTTCCAAATTTGTATAGAATATTCTTTGGATACTATCACCTAAAAAGTAAAAACTATTTTATTATTTCACTATTTCAAGGGTAGTATACTATTTTAAGTAGGTAAATTGTTGCATTTATATCTTTGGTCCCAGGTTAAAGGAGTTTAAGTAATTTTTTCGCATTTTTTCTTTTTTTTTACAAATTATGATAGCTTGTATTTTACTGTATTTATTGGTCCAATTGGCTTGCAGTTATGCAAAAAATTGACTTAAGTCCTTTATTATATTATTGATTCTTAACGATATTTAATATTTATACCATCTACAAATTCTCATCGTAGCGTTTTATTTATGAAGGATTATTATTTTTATAACCTCTTGGTAATAATAATAATTCTGCAGTTATGTGATTACTGATTACACCGACCACTCTGTAAGGCTTTTATAATAGATAAATATATAAAAAAAAAATTGGCAAAGTGATACTATTAATGTCTTGCAATTAAATACAAACCTAGTGTGAATTTATAATGATAAATTTGATAATATAAAAGAATACTAAAGTTTTGACTATAGTTTCTTCTTCTACTAGTTTCGTTATTACTTTTATTACCCGAGCGTATAAATACAATGTTAATAATCCTATCATAAAACATATTATATGTTTTATGGATATAATTTGAACGTGGGTGGTCGAGTATTTTACTTAGGCAGCGTTAACCTTCTTACCGCAGAAATTTGTAATTTTTTTTCTTGCATACTATAATATTATTTTCTTGTATTACATAAAATTATTAATACACAGAAATACATATTTTGTTTTAACTGTATTAAATTTTTACTTCATTTATAAAGTTAGTGGAAGTTCCTATAGCCTTAGATCTCGTGGAAACGTATTAGGTATATTTATGAAGTATGTCTTTATCTATACATTACAGATTAAAACCTTTTCACTCGCCACAGATAAAAATATATAAAAGAAAATGAGAGAAGAGTAGTAAAAAATAATTTATAATATGGTTTACTTGACTTATCTTAAGGGCATTTTATTAAATCATTATTTAACTTAAACCTAACCTGACCTTAGGTTAAAAATGCAGTACATTTTTATTTTTGGGGCATTTCTGTCCGTGTAGTATTTATTGCATTATCTATTTAACTGCTATTGAAAATAATGTAACGTCAAATAAAACGGTTACTTCAAGAAGACGGACATGCTAAGTAAACTGTAATTTTTATTTTTAATCGTAGTACCTAATTATCATGTTTTGTTATATATATAAGTATATTTTGTATTTTAGTTGGTTAATATTATTTAAATATCGCTAAACATCTAGCTGCCGTGTACAATTGTTTGCCTATTCAACGTTAGTCGGGCAATCAAGTTAAAACCCGTAAAAATTTTGGGAGACCAAAATGACCGTTTTTTATATGTTTTTTTCAAAATAAATTTAATATTTTGGGGCTTTCAAGTGGTGCAATATTATTATTTACCTCTTGTACAACAATTTTTCTTCTTGTAGATTTTTTCCATTTGATAAAAGGTTGTACAGTGGGTATATTCTCATGCTATAAGGTGTGTGGTAAAGATTAAATACGATTTTGACAGTTAAGTATAAATTTCCAGCATTGAATAAAAATATAAACCTTGACAAATGATTTGCCGCCAAAACAAGTGTCGCTCGACGTTTGGCCAGCATCGGACACAAGCCGTCTTATTAACCAGCGCGCGCGAGCGACTTATATTAATTAAAAGGAGAGCGTCTCGGTCCGTGCCACGGCACGGCGGCAGCTTACACTGGTCCGGCGGCGCAGCGAAGGGCAAGAGGGCCCACCCACGGCGGCCACACAAGTAGACAACACCGAAGACCACACGCGCGCGCGCCAACAACGTCGTTGCAGTCTCCCGGCCACTACCACCACGGCCTCAGCCACGGTCGTCCGTCCCAAACCGACACACACACACATACTATAACCGTGTCAACTATACTAAACGACGACGCCAACTTAATCGTCCATAATAATAATAATAATAATATTATTATTTTACGTTCGACTGTAATTGTTTATTTTAAATGGGAATATAATAAATATATTTTTTTACGTACGAATAACGAGTACGGCAATAATTTTGTACGAGACAACGTCCGTCGTAAAATTCGACATGTCCCAACGCACAAGCCCGGACGTAGGCAGTAACAATAATTATTAACATTTACTGTATCTCATTCGATGGTAATGCGATCTGCGAGTGTGGGTATTATCAATATATAATATATTTATGTGTTCACTGGCATTAGCGGCCGGCGCGGCGCTACCGGTAACCAATGGCTGTACGCCGGGTGTTGTCTCTGGCGGTGTCGGGTTGTACCACAGTCTTAGTTGCTCGTCTGTTAATTTCCAAAAGGGGAATAACACCTCAGAATTGACCCTGATTTGTTTAGGGTTTGTCCAAAGTTGGGCAAAGCTATTTTTTTATACCTATTTTAGCTAAGTAATTTAAAAAAGTAACTGAGACGACTTTAGTTATTTGAAAAACAAATTAACAAACTAAGTTTAAAGTTAAAAGTATATTTTCATAGTTGCTCCATTAAAAAATACTTATTTTTGACATAATTCAGCCAATTCAACCAATTTACTAATTATCAATTACTAATTTATACCTTCTTACTCTCTCATCAAAGCTTTTACTTAAGATCCGGATTACCCGGATTTTATTTCATGTTTTACAAAAACTAGTACCTAATGGGATCACAAAAAACCATGTTTTACCAACAAAACGGTTATTTTAGTCATTTAAAATCCTTAAAGTAAGTATGTAATATGTTATATTTAGTATTTATAAGTATTTAATTGTGTGATCTCATTAGGTACTAGTTTTAGTAAAACCAGAAATAAAATCCGGCTAATTCGGATATCAAGTAAAAGCTTTGATGCGAAGCTAAGAAGGCATTAGTTTTACAGTAGGTTAGGTTAATAGCTAATGACTTAACTATACGATTATGTCAGTTGTCACTCATCTGTATTCAGAGACGGATCCAAGACTCTAACCGGAAGTAAGACAGTTACCAATTTTTTGTGTTCCTAATACCAAAACTTGTATGAAAAATGTTCAGTACCCAAAGATTTTTTTTTAACGGGACTTCCGGGAATGAGACTCCTAGCCTCAGTGCTCCCTCTCATCTAATTTACGTAATCATCAAACATTTTACCCAAAATCCGTTTCATAATGTATTAATTCATGATTTTTCTTATGTATACATTTTCCATGGAAAGACAAGTCCCCTTCCCTTAAATGGACACCCGTGCTTAGTTGTACGATTCTCTTAATAATAATAATATATTTAATGTAATTGTTCGTTTTGGTACAAAGGGGTTACGTTATTGCAGGTGAGTGTATAGCAGACCACCCTCGTCGTATTGTAGTTACTTACATTAACTCCAGTCTCCAACTTGGCCGTAGGATATATAATTATTTTCCTATTCAGCAATTTAGAGCACAGCGGAAGATCTAAGGGGTGTTCTTTAGCTTCGGCCTCCCCTCAACAGTGTCCAGCATTTTCTTTATAACAACTTCGCCCTCTATTTATCTAATATTATCTTATGACATTTTCATGTCAAAATACTAATTTCAAATCAGCTTTGGTACCTTGTTTCTTTATTGTTAAACGACCAAAAAACATTGTTTCATATCTCTCTCAATATTTTTAGTCTCTATATTCCTATCGGTTGTATTTTGTTAATTATGATGAGGTTGTGAGTATTTTAATTGTCTATACCTCTGTATATGAATGTGTATAGGTACCTACCTCTAAAACAGTATACCCGGCAATCGCGTTTGTCTGGTGTGTGAAGTATTTGATATTCTGCAACTCGTCCTCTAGGCTCTGTTTATGCATGAGTAATATTGTAATTGTAAAATTTTAAAATATAATAAGAAATAACATACACACACACACACACTGCGTACAGCGTACATTACTCATTCTACAGACAACAATGACTTCCATTTTTCCGCAGACACATATTTTTTTCTCGAATATTATATTATTATTATTATTATTATAACAAATTAATATCACATTATTGACTACTCATGTCTTATTGAATTTCAACACTAATGTCTCCTTATAACACATCTCTGGGGCTACTTAATAGTTTTGCTGAGTACAACTGAAAATGCCAAAAAATTACATAACTACTTTTATTGTTATGACACAACAAAAGCTGACTCTACTAAAAATCACGTTATTGTGAGAAATGTCATTTCCCGTTATTTCCAACGATTTAAATTATTTTTTAAACTGGTCTAATGGGCTCTTGCCAGTTTTATTAATTTGAGTAACTAATATTATCTATTATTATTCTGACTCATTATCTAACGATACAAATATACAATTTAGCGATAAGATTCTAAGGTCGCATGGAAAGCTTTTCTCGTGCTTAGGTATGTACAGTGTATACTAATTGTCACCACCAGTCTTCCAACAACTGTCATTTTTTTTTTTAATACATAGAGCACTTTGTAAATTGTCTCTTTAATATCCCGCGGTGGTGGTCCATCGAAGCGTGGCGCATATGTTAAAGAAGTTGTAGTAAATAAAGTATTATGTAGCTATACGAAGGAGGAGTACAATCGAATCCATTTATATGATTCAGTCGCATAGAAGAAACTAGACATAAACGCTGTCGAAGTCAATTGGTGAACGACGACCACCAACGATGACAACGTACCCGAAATTCATATGGGGTAGGGTTTATATATATATATATATATACACAGTGAAAACACCATCCAAAGAAGTGAGATTAATTTTAAGAATTCTCCAATATACTTTTTCTGTATAGCTGTCATGCCGCCATCGGAGCACGCGGAA